ATATTCATCCTGATTTGCCGCCGCTATGAATGCGCGCCCGCCACCAGCTAGCAAAGAGGAGCAGTCGGGCGTGCAAATATCGATTGCATTCTTGACACAAATAATGTCGGGGCGTACTATTTTCGATGTTGTGCGCCGCACACAACAACATCCCTCGCTCATCAGGCATGAATAAGGTGTTCACTTTCATTCTTTTCTTTAATTTTTTTGTTCGATGCGCAGGTGAGGAAAACCCTTATCAATATAATTTCAGCAGCAAATTATAAAATAGTAACCTTCATGTTTGTCTCCTCCGCACTTTAAACACAAAATAAATTTGTGCGTGTATAAAAATAAATATGAATAAATGAACCTGAAAAACTTTCTTTGCTTTCCACAAACCGCAAGGTTATTGCTATTTTGCCAAAAAAAACCTAACTTATCTTGGCATATCAATAAATTATGCCATAAAAAATAAACAACTTTAGAATGATTTATTTCACGTTTATCTGAGTGGATTTGCGCCGTAATTTCAATACGATCGTAAGTGGACAACTCGCCCAATTTACGGTGAGTGTATTAATTAGTTTAATTAGTATGAGTGTGTGATTCGTAATGTCAATTAAAGTTCGACAGTCGGTGGGTTATCCGCCGTCGTTGTTGTTTAAGCATTTGACCATTGCCCATAATGACAAATTAATTAACGGCCAGCATAGTATGGCCGGCGATTAGTCGGCTCCTATACGGCATTAGCGAAACACGGCTAATCGAAGCTAATAAAAAATCATGCGGCATCGATCGGACGCCATGTCAATAATTAATTGCGACTGGCAATAGGCGACCAGTATTAGATTGGCCTAATTTAACTCAAACCAATTAATGTCTACGCTATGTCCGAATAATACTCAAGACGTTGTTTTACATAAAACAAAATCATTGTATTTTTAAATTTCCTGTGAACATGCTGTATGTGCAGATAAAACGCATACATTGAAATCTCGCACAACAAGATCAATTGTTATGATAATGCAATGTATATCAAGGTTACTACAATTGACATTTATTAATGAGTGGCGGTTAAGTAACCATTTAGCTTCCATCGAAATCGTCTGGCAATAATGATGGCAATCATGGGATCGTGGTAATTGATAGAAGACCGAACACAACGTGCTGAGAATAAAATTACAGCAAAAACGAAATCTGATCGATTGGCTTTTAAACGATTCATTCAAGAGCAACACCAGTAGGAAAACAAAATTAATGCATAAAATTAATCGAGTTATATTTATATTATAATCGGTTGAACTTGAATGCCATGACTGATAGGAATAGAAAGAGAATAATTAAACGGAATAATAATGTTGATGTAATTTTCTGCATTAATTGCGTTTGAGTAAATGTATTTATCAAAATTGATTCATCTATAATATAAAAAATAAAAATGAATCGCAAAATCTGTTGGGAAGCGAATAACTCAACAATGCCTAGACCAATTTGGCCAATTCTTTTTTTTAATGTTCGTTAAAGTCCAAAGATGGTTTTCACGGCGAGAAAAATTCGAATAATCGCCGAGAAAACCCTAAAGACAGCCCTTTATTATAGGATAAAAGTTGGCATTGAGATTCAATCATGGTTATAGTTAAATAGTTGAATCCGAGATGGCGCGCTGAAATGCATTATTAGCAATTCTTTATACCTATAATTAATTTCTTTCAAATAAAATTGCGAATCTTAAAAATAGAATTGACCCATACTATGTATAGAACAAGAGAGTAAAAACGAATTACATTTTTAGTAAACCCTACAGGGACGAAGTCACGGGCCAAAGCTAGTAAATTAATAAAACTATCAACAAAATAAATTATTTTTCATTTTGTTTTCATTATCGATTAAAATTACAATATTTAATAAGAAAAACGTAGATTAAAGATTTCAGTTTTAAAATCAATGAAAAATTATTGAAAATAAAAAGTGTGCGCAAAATAAAAGTCAAACACACACTGTGTGCATCAATAGCTTCCATCCATTCATGCACTTGATTACGACAACGACCGCCGACGTATTGATTATGAATTTATCCGTGAATGTTCCACGTTCAACGGCTGCCGCATTAAGCCATCATAGAAATGTGTGCGGGTTTTGCCCATCTGTGCGGCGAACTTCATCGAAAAGGAGCAGCAAACAGTTGAGCAAACGAAACGCGCGGCGCGGTTTAGCTCAACAGCGACAGCCGCCCCCACGTGCTTGACCCAGGAGCTATTTTCGGCGAGCCTGTGCGACCACCACCGCGCGGTCTATTCCAACTTACACTCGCACACATTCACCAAGTGCATATATACACAATGTTGCGCTACTGCCATTGCTGCCGCCTCCGAAGCTAAAACGCGTCATGCTTTTGTTCGTTTCCTGTTTATAACAGTAACACACTCATTTGTGAGAGTGTATCGTTACTGCACATGCATGCGTGTTGTTTGGAGGCCGCGCGAAATGAGCATCGCCCGCCTCCAGGAAAAGGCTGTGCATCCGCTTGAAGACGATACCGAGAGAAGCTTTTGTTTGTGCGGAGCGGGTGGCGGCGCTGGCGTTTATTCACGCTACGCTAGGCGGGTTAATGAATTGGATAAACATTGGCACCGTCGGCGCGATGTAACAATTGGTGAAATGTTGGACACACGTTTGCCATTTAACCGTACGAGGCAAATTTATCAAGTCGCATGCAATTAGAAAATTGGATTGCAGTGTTTAATCAATGCTAACCAAACCAGAAAAAAAAATTACAATATTTTTTTAAATTAAAAATCTAGAGTATAAAAATAACAGAAGTAATACTCCATTACAAATTGTTATAAAACTAAAGAAAAATCGCTTGAAGTTGATATTCGAACATGTCTAACACTTAACCGCTAACACGTTCCCGTGTTTTGCGATACTTTTTCGCGTCGATGACGTTCGCACACATACATACACCGAGTACGGGATCCGTATCGCGATCTAGGGCAAGGACGAATCCTTCGTACGTTTACTCACCCAGCGCATAGATATGTCGAGTTCGCGCGCACATTCGTACAAGTTCGACGCATTTATGCACACAAGCAGAGAGAGAATCGCAAGAAAATCTACAAGCGCGATGGATGGGCATCTTTGGCCCACTCCAACTGACAGCAATCACTTGATAAGAACGCGCAACGGGCCACAAGCCGCTCATGCTCCGATAAAAATGACAGCAGGCGTAAAATGATGAAATTTTCTACAAAATGTTCTAATACGAATATGCTACATGCAAGATGAAATTCTATCTAGTATAAAACAAGAATATAAAAACGGTTTTATCAAGTTAAAATGAATTTTATGCATCGCCAGTATAAAAACACTTGAATTTCATCTCTGAGCGAATTAAAAACGAAAAGATATAAAGTGCACGGCTTTTGTACTTGGCAAATGGCAGGACCAGAGTGCAGGCGACCGGGGCAAACCAGGACGAAGCCGGGAAAACCAACGCCGCGATAATAAACAAGCACCATAATAAATTAATTCCGCAATACGCCGAGGCTTTTGTTCCTTCTCTCGAGGCAAGCAAGGCAGCGTAGGGCGAAGCAGTTTGGAAGATGCGTTCCAAAAACAACTAGACAGTTACCACCGCCATAAAAGACAAAACATAATGCGTTTTGTTTGCGCACTTTCTCGCAAATATATAAAAAAGAAAAAATAAAGGTTTTCTCCACAAAAACCTAGAAATGTTATTAAAAACATTGAAAAATACTCTACTTCCTGTTGATTAATTTTACTGATTTCTAGTAATAAATGATCTCGTTTCGCACAAGATTTACGAACGTATTAATTTGATTCTTTTTCGAGTTTAGATTTTGACAACAAACACCATCAATCAATCTACGTATCCATTATGCTGTTTGTTGTGATTTGTTTAGTTTAATTGGTTATTCTGCTAATGCATGTTGAAGGACGTTTGAGGTTATCGATACAAATGTTGAATGCAAAACGCCGGCAGCTGAATAATTCGATCGTGCACGCAAATGTTTAACAAATGATTTAAAAACATCATCTACGCGAGAGAGATGAACTAGAAAGAGAAGCGCGTGTAAGATAAGCGTCAAAGCTGGTTCGAGCTGAGCTCATTTGCTCGTTTCTGCACGTTCGGCTAATTAGCAATTAAAATTCAAGATTATTTCAGAGCGCAATCGCAAAGAGCGGAAATGTGCATGTTAGCGATTTTTAAGTGTTTGTTTTGATGTTTGCACAATGACAAAAACAGGTCATATATTAAATACAGAATAGAATATTGAAATTTTGAAAAAAAAAATAGGCAACCAGTTATGCAATTTACAGTTAAATAATTAAATATCTTTGTAGTATGTTAATATAAACTATATTCTTCGCTACAGCAAGTCCAGACGTGCAAAACTAAAGAAAAACGAAAGCTCGAGGATGCATCCTTGACCAATGCCGCATATGCACGTGCATTCTTTGCGAATCATTAACATCGCGCACGTTTTCCACTTAAGACAGAGGACACAAATCCACAAACGCTTCTCACCTGAGCGCGAATGTGCAATTGCATGCGTCGCGCTCACGGGTTTTAATAAGCAATAAGTTTCTTTTTGAAAAATCGACATGGCATGCACTTGCACGGCTGTCACAACTTCACGATCAAGTACGCATTAAATAAATTGCGCTCGAAATGCACCAGACGTTCGGTGTGTGTTATTATAAATTCATAAATCGACTCACAGACTCACGAAGGGAAAAAATACAAAACAAAAGATGAATATTTTCAATACCAAATAAATTATATTATTAATTCTTGACAAAATGTATAACTAATAAACTGCATTAAATATTTTCTATTAAAAAATATTAAATAGCTGATACTGTAAAATACTGGTACGTATATAAATCTAAAGAAATGTGCGTCGATAACATGGAGAAGGATCCGATTGTTAAGTTTGACTTGTCAATGTTAAATGTACCCAGAAACAAGCCGCGAATCTCAACTGAACACATAATGAACAACTTCACCTTTGCCTTTATTATTTCAATAAATGTCTGTGAGTGTACATCTGTACTGGTTCTTCGACGAAAACATAAATTAAACACAACAACGCTTAAATATTGAAACGGATGTGCAATGCACACGCATGGTCGAATTCCGACCGATTCGCAGGTAATCTTAAATTAAGCTCTTTTTGTATGCGTTGCCGATGACACTTTAGATCCGGTGTGCGTTTTCGACCTCGCAAGGGTCCGCCGTGCAGACGCCCACTCGTTGGCAAGGACGAAATGCTTCACGCCGTGTTTTCGGCCGATTCTGTTGACCACTTTGAATGTAAGCATAATTACTACAAGTTGCTTTACGATTTCCTTCAATTTATCAAAAACAACTTCAGCGACGTCCGCGTAAATTATTATATTTACGCATTCAGGGTTTTTACTTTGGTTAATTAATCAATATTCTGACAAGTGTTTTTCTTGTTTTCGTCACAATTTTTCCCAGACAAACAAAATATTGTAACGTTAAGCGCTCATCTTATGAAATTGTTTATCTTTTTAATAAGTACTTAACATTAAATATAAATTACTGGATTTTAAATTAAAAATTGTGCACGGCAGTTTCAGGTCGTAAATTAGAGCGAAGAAGTAAATTTTCCATGCAACTGAGCGAAAAAAATGACTTCATAAATCTGCACACGGTCGTAAAAAATTAATAATCACTTCATTAAACGTACGTAAACCTTTTATTGACAATTAACTGAAACTCTGCCAGAGCAAAAAAGATGAGAATTCTTGTTTAATTTGGTTTTGGTTTCTGTGTCAATGTTACGATATAAAATTGGTATTAAAAGACAGCTCCGAGCAGATCGTTAACAAACTGAAGAGTATTATTAAAAGTAATAAAAAAATACGTGATCGTATATCAGCTACCAATCAATTCGACACTTTTACTATCCATCTTTATTATCTCGTACGCCTACTCACTGCTTGCACTCACTTAGCAGTGTTATTCCATATAATTACAACAAAACAACAAAACAACAAAAAAGAGTGGGTCGTAAAAGTTGCCGGGTTTGTTTTCAAGACGTGTGATAGAAGATTAATTAAAACAAAAATTACGGCCGAGCGAATGGAAAATGCGAAAATAATTAGGAAGTTTTGCCTAGACCCCACTCTGGGCGCGGCTTGTCAAAGCGCGACGTGGCCAGAACTTAATTTCGAGCCGCATTTTTGGCAAAGTTGATATAATTCAGCGTGTAGGCGGGCCCTGGCTAAACGCAGTGACGAGGACTTCTCTGAAAACCGAAAGGGTATCGCGTCGACTCTGCGAAAGCGAAGGCGACAGTGTCGAGGCCGAAGAAGCAGAAAAAAATAATAATGAAAGCCAGCAAGCTGTTAGCTGGGAGGAAAAGCTCGTTTGAAACATCCGCGTCTGTGCTTGACGCCGGTGGAAATTGAAAATTTCAAGCTCGTTTAGAAAAAAAAACGCATGACAGAAAAAGCGTTTTTCAATTATAAATTAGACCTCGAATTAATGAGTTACAGAAAATTTTCTGCAAATAGCATAAAAATTACAAAAAAAAAACGGAAAAATGCAATCATATGCACAAATTCTACACTTTAACCAAGCAAAATAATAAATCTAGTTATTTATAAGTAGCGTAAACCCACAGGGCGATTATTAAACTTAATTGCGAAACATTTCCGTGCCATGCACCGAAAATAAATCAGTATGAGTGACCCGTATGTGTTAATTTGCGAATAGTATCCTAATGGACTTTTTATTTATACTCAGTGCGCCAGCAAACATTTCTATAATACCTACTACGCCCAATAACAATCTCGATTGTTAAGCCAATACAAGAGCCTGTCATTACGTCTATGCAATTGAACAGTTATAACCTTCGGACGTGTCGTAAACAATGCCGCTGGATACATACGCTCAACTTGTGTACCAGTGCATATTAAAATAGAAAATGATTTATTCGCATCAAACAACTAAACAACAAATGTATGATGTTAAACTGCGCAAAAATAAAAGTGTTATTGTAATGAATGTGCGAATAAAGTAATAGGTATTATGATTTGTTTAAAATTCGCAAAACAACGTAATCATTACAATTTTATGCTTTTTTTAAACAATCGTTCTACAAATATTTATAGCAAAATATTTCACGGTTTATTTAATTATTAAGGCGCAGTAATAAAGTATTTTCGGTTGTTTAGACTGATTTAGACGATAATTTTAAAAGAAACTAGTGAAACGTCAAACTGCTTGTATGGTATGCAACTCAACATACACGATTTTGCGGCAATTTTTCAAATCTGCTCAACATATTGCATTGTACTATATTTTACTTAAAAAACATTGCTAATTTAGCCAAAATTATAACTTAGAGCTTACTGACGATGGTTTAAAAGTCTGGTATTCAGTTTTTAGTAAAAGATTAAAATCTAAAACAAATCAGAAATTTCTTAGAACTAAATTAAATATGTACTAGAAATGAACGAGTTGATAAAACAGTTTTAACAAGCCAACATTAAAACCCAACAATCGAAATTTAATTCGTTTTAGTCACTTGACACACTAAGTAAATATAATTCGAGCAGAATTTACGATTTTGTTTGCATCATTCCAATTTAAACTTTGCAAATTAATAGTCTCGCAAAGTTGGTGCGCATTTATTCACGACCACAACGCTGTCGGCACCAAATCGAACAAATGAACAGACGATAAATACCATTCAATATCGCACATTGATCCACGTCAATTTCCAACACACGAAAAAACATATTCTACTGGAATTTTTATTATTCCTTTGACCGCTGCGAATTTTGCAGAATAAATAAACGCTATTAATCGCATCACAGAGGCCAGTTGTTTAGGTAGTAAAAAACATCGTGGGAAATATATCAGCCAAAAAAAACCTGGCTGCATATGCGCTATGGCTATCAAACAGTATATAAATAGCGAACAAATACCAGACGCTGTGATAATGGTGTAAAAACAGGAGCAAAACAGTCGCAGATGTGAGCGTCGACGAAAATAAAACGCGCACGAAACGAAAACAAACAAAGCGCGCGGTTGTGCGCCGCTGTTAATGCATGTTTAATAATAACTATGATATAAATGTGCGATATGAACAACTTACTCGCGCCAGTGCATGTGCAGGCCATCTCGTAACAGTCCTTTGAACGACAAGCGTGCGCCCAGGGAGTTTGAGCGATGCTGGCGTCCTTGATACTTGTTTGCCTGTTGACGCTGCGCTTCCACCTCTTGCACCGCGTCACTGCCACCGCCGCCGCCGCCGTGACCGGCGTCGTCTGTCTCCTCGACGCCGCCCGAGTGTGCAGACATGCTTTTTGATAAAATGACCTCGGGTGATGCGGGGATGGAATGAACGAAATAAAATCTCAACTATAAAGACAAAATTTAAAATCAAACACAAACAATGGCAAAATATATAAATAAATATATGTATGAGATGCGTTAAGAAAAACACCATCGTAAATAAATGTTCACTTTAACTGGAAAATAAAACGAGATGAAAGAGCGCATCAAATTGTGTTTCACATGCGCGCTGCGTCCATGCCGTGGTGGGATTTACAGTTTAGTAACCCTTGTCGTCGAGCCAACCCTTGCCCCAGAGTGATAAAACACACGCTCGTAAATAATCTCGTCTGGCTTGCGGATTTTTTTCTTCATTACGCGAAGAGTCCCAAGAAAAAGTTGTAGTTTTTTGCGCGCGCATTGCGTTCGTTTATTATGTGAGCCATGAAAATGTTCGTTGCGGTGGAAAATTGTGCCTGGGTGAAAAACTAAGCGTGCGCATCTCGAAAACGCAGCGACTCTCTTTTTTTCGCCCCTCTGCCGCATTGAATTAAAAATGTTCCCATCTAATTAGCGAGTGGCCGCGTCAAGATGACGCGATTAGGAACATCTGCTTAAATATTGTGATAAAAATTAACTGGTTTATGCTACGGCGGTTTTTATGGTTCAGTTAACATTTTCGCTAATAGTGACTATATTTTTAACTGAGTATATATAATAAATAAAGTCATGAATAAAGAATCAGAAATAATAAGATTTAGATGTTTACCGTAGGCAACCAAACACACTAAACATATAATAACAAGTCACACAAATTTTACGAAAACAAAATTTTATTAGAATTAGTAAGTTATTTCCGGGGAGAATTATCCGACGATATTATTTTCCTGTGGTAAACCAAAAAAGCCTAAAATCCCTAAGTTTACCTTTTGGCTTTACTGCGGCTTAAATCTACCGGCAGGTGTACAAAAAATATATCTTGCGAAAACAAAGCAGGAAAAGAACAACATAAACTAAAGTCAACTTAGGTTCAACGGGGAATAATTTTACTGCGTAAAAGTTGTGAACATGCACGGTATGAAAATTATAAACTTTGTGAATGTTTTGATGAGTTTGCAACAATTGCCACAAACTGTTATCGCAGCAACTTGTAACTACTGTTTGCTCTCCCGAAAGTATTTTGAGCGTAACAAATCTAATTTAATTCCACGTGTAGTTTAAAATAACAATACTACATCGACATAAACTATATTAACTGCTTATCGTGCTGAAATGTTCATAATTAAAACTGTGCATGTGCTAAATTCGAAAACATTTTTTTTTAGAAGTTTTGAAAGCCGAAATGTAATCATTCGACATTTTTGCCTTAGCATAAACACTTACGGCGTTACTGATTTCAATTCTACCATTATTTTGAAATGTCACAGTTAAGAATGCGAAAAACATGTCCATTAAAATCAAAATCCATAGCTCCACAATACACGAAATCTAAAAATTGATAAATTTATTATCTTTCCAGTCTTTGACAACTAAAATCCATAAGTTTTTATTTACTATTGTAAAAATAATTGAATTTTTGTTTTGTTATAAGAACACGTTTATTTTTATTACAGTTGCTGAAATGAAAAGCCTTTCATCCGTTCGCATCGAGAACATAATCAACTTATACGACGTACAACGTGAGCAATGTGCTTTTTCACAATCAAGCACAAGCCACCACAATCGATATCGAGTACTATTTACCCTCGTCGACCTCGTACAAAAGAAAGATATTTCACGAGAGGACGACTTGTAGTTCGCCCCGCGACAGCGCAGAGATATCCATCTACTCGTCCACATTCTACATACTGTCGACCACACTGATAGCCATAGATTTCCATTATCGCGGCAACCCGAAGCTAAATGGAAACGAACGCCTGCTGCACACCGACACAATTACACACCTAACCAAATCTATGTATGGCGTTGTATGAAGGAGGCCTACTGGCCTACAAGTAACGCGACGGGGCCGACACGCAAAGACCCATCTGGCCATCAATTTTTAACAGGGAATCGATACGATGCGATCGTAAGGGGTTGCTACCGCCACCACCGCACTTGTGGGTGTATAGGTGTGTGTGTTTGTATGTTTACAGCCGGAATCTCAAGCGTGTGCACACCCCCACAAACACCACGCTCCGGGCCGGGCCTCTGCTGGCGCAACCTTGGCCGATAATACGCAATCGTAAATAATCCATAATCGCGCGCGGCTCACCAACTTCGTGTGTGCATAAAGTCACGTAATTATAATTCCTTGATCAAATATACTTTGCTGGAACAATGTGCGCGTTCGTAATGTGATGTTTGCACGTGTACCACCGTAAACTAACTATGCCTACCAGTACATCTATATTGATAATAAATTGCTCGAGATGAGCTTCTATGACTTCTGTTACACACACCGGAAAATATGCAAAAATCATACATATTTATTTCAGTAGATAAACCGATAACAGCTTTGTTGGTTGCCTAGTAATGTCAAAATAACCTAAAAGTAATCTATATCAATTTGTACCTATCTCCTCATAAATGTCACCAATATAATTAATATTTACGAGGTAGTAAAAAAAATCACCTCGCTGGCGGCTTGATGAATGCCATTAACTTCCATTAGATTGGTTTGGTAGCGAACGATCAAAGTCGCGCGCACAAACGACATCAACTGCAATATCTCGGCGCAGCGTTCACACGTTTACGACAAACATTAACGAACAAGATCGACGCCGCCGCTGCCGTCATTGTGGCAGCTATCGCATTTGACATGTTCTCTCGGCGCTCGTCATTGAGACGTCATGCTAATCAGCGCGCTCTGATTGATACGGAAGGTCAACGCCGAAGAAACATCTGTCAACTACGGGTCGCACAGAATCGATTTTATTAATCTTCAACAAACAACTCCAACAGGATTATAGTTGTCTGCTGTATGCGGACAATAACTGGGGCATTTCACGCCAAATCAGAAAATAAATCTTTATATATGAGTGTGAAAATTTAGACATTTTTTATATAGCTCTTTGAGAAGATATGGAATTTCAAAGAAAAAAGGCTCAAATTTTGATTCTTAGTTTTTAACTTTCAAAAATGGTGGTAATATAAGAAATTATCGCACCGTCAAATTGTTTTGATATAATTAAACAACATTTACATCATGCCTACTCGTATGTAGCTGCATTTATAAATATGTATGCAAATTTTATCATATACCCTCGAGTCACAGAAATTTCTAGCCAGCAAAACATAAAAAAAGTTAAGGACAGTTTGTAATCCATGCACTGCAATGTTCCTCGCATATTGTGCTCGCTCTCAACGAAATGTAATGTTTGTTTGCGCATGCTTTTAGTAGCACATATCGCTACGATAGACGCATTCTAAAATCTTTTGTCGTTCTCACACACACCCGTACACAACGCTTTGTGTATTGCTGAAACGCAGAGATAACGTCGCGCGTTATTCGTAGTAGTGAAACACGCAGTACGCCTGAAAATGTAGTAGAACTTTTGTTTTGTCGCGTCCTAGAGTGCTTTCCAGGCTGGGTCTAGCGAGACCGTACTAAATAAATGCCATCGTTATCTCATTTTCTTTCGCACATTCCCGACTACCCGCCGAGCTCGAAGCCGCTAGACAAAATGCAATTAAATGCGGCTATGGTGGCTACGCCGGCGTGCGAAATGTTCAAATCGGGTTAGGGCAGGACGCGCGAGACACGTGGGCGGGCGTATCGATTAATATAAATTACGCATTTGCGAGCGACCGAGCATCGAGTGCGGCGCGCGGCCAGACCCCAAAGCGCGAGATGATAATCGGAACTTAATTCGTTTGCGTAACTTCGGACGCTTCGGCCGGATGCCGCGGAAACGTATGCGATTCCCACGAGGGTGAGGAATTCATATCAGAGCAGTTAAACGGTGCTGCGATTTGCGAAAACATCGCCGGACCCAACGTAATTGCCTTAATGCGGTTGGAATTTAATAACTTCAACGAATACGAAATCGACCAGAAGTAAAATCAAATGACTTAGAAAAACTGTAATTAAAAATATGGTGTTTAATTATTATCAAATTAAGTCCATTAAATATAAGATTTAATCCACTTCAAGAATGTTAACGCTCAATGATTAATGAACGACATAATTAATCCCTTAAACCGACGATGAACACAACGCGCATGCAAAACGGCCGTCATGTGAAGGTTGAATAATTCAACAGCGCATATATATTTCAATATTTTGTCACTCATCCCACGCATGTCATGTCAGAGCTGGGTGTAAAGTGCGCAAATGTACAACAAGGGCAACCGGATAGGGTAGCAACAGAAGCAGTGAAGTAATCGCACACAGCCTGCGCTCAGCTGAACCCTTCCCTTGCACAATGTCGCACAATTCAACGACTTTAATTAATTTCCCCTCTTTTCGCACACGCGGGCGCCGGCGTTGCGCGGAAAAGTCATTAATAATATTAACTATTTAAAGGGAACAAATTCGACGGTTTGCTTATATCGCACCGGCGTGTAATCTTATAATCACAAGCGCCTGAATTTACATAGTTAATTCGAAAAATTCCAATGTTGACTAAATTTCCACTAGCAAATGTGGCGTCACGAAAACCGAATACTCACCAGTTTGTTAGTGGACTAATTTGATAGCAACTGTTTAAAATGTAAATGCCCCGTGGCAGTTACATATCGTCCAAAGTTAAAAGCTAAAGGGAGCACAGCACAGCACACAAAACAACGTTTTATCAAATTGCATTCACCGACTCGTAAAATAGCTCCCTGGAAAACGAAATAAGTAACCTGAATCGACCACGAGGCACTGGTAGTCAACGCGCGCTTAATTTACATTCGCAGTCAACTACGACTTACGATAAATTATAAATAATGCATGACGGTTTTTAGTTGTTCAAAATGCTACGAATTGTCTGAGAAAGTCCAGCGTGGCGCCATTGCAACCATATAAAAAAAACAATCAACAAATTACCTCGACATCAGCATTTTCATGTTCTGATTGTTTCAATATACCACATGTTCAAAATTAATATTAATATAATCATTATATATTGCTTTTAATGCTTATTTAGCGAATTGAATCTTTTGAATCTACTTGATACTTTCGTATAATTTAAGTACGATTTATTTCAATCAAGAGTAGTTAACTCCTCATAGTGAGACATTATCAGTTCAATAAAGGTTTCAGCAAACGCTTATTATTGATATAAATTGTTGTCATTGTGACATGATAAAGCGCTTTGAAATTTTTGGAATGCAACAATTTCATTTAAAACAATTGATAAAGACAACAACAAAATATTTTCGAAGCTTTAAATTACTTCTAGAAATCTATTTTAAAAGTAACTAATTAAAATAGATATATGTATGTAAAGATCAATAACTTCACTAATTATAACACTGAAACAATAAGGTTCCAATATATAATTTTTATCTGAAGAAATATAATCACTCTTCTTATCACTAAATAAACCATGGTATTATTCAACTTTATATAATCCACTCAAAAAAGTACACACAATTCTCGATCAGAAATAAACACGGAACAGAAAACCGAAAGCAAACCAAATAGACGCATCTGAAAGTCAGCCGAGTCGGATGGAATAATACCAGACGGGGCAACAATTGATTCGGCCGCTCCAAGTGATGAGAAAGTCACAGCTGATGCCAACCGATAACGATTTCTTTTCAGCGGCTGCTCGCACTCTCGAAAACCGACTCGACGATGATTGTGTCGATTAAAGTGAGATTGAGCGATTGTAAGACGCGCAAGGCGGTGACGGCGGCGGCGGCGAGCTATCGATTTCGGTCCCGACACGGCTCTTTTCGGCGACGGCCACCCCGCTGTTGCTAATTTGTAATTTCGAATAAAGGAACAACCCACATACAGACAAAGTGCGTACTCGAGAAATTCGCCACAAGATGAATTGTCGCCGGTCGCTGCAAGTGAACGACAACGAGTGTTATTTGGAAAACGGCGAGCGCATTATTCTCGGGGCTTCGAGTGAGCGCATGTATTTGATTTATGCGGCGTACGCAAAGGGATATAAATTTAGGCGGCGCGCGCGCGAAAGCTTCACGCGGAGGCGGGTGAAAGAGAGAGAGAATGTAGGCCGTCGCCGATGCCGCTGCGGAGGTCGGTCGTACGGTCGAAGTGGAGGGCCCATCCCCCATGTCGACCTTGACCGGGCTGCGTGGAACAGCTGAAGCTGAACATCGACACGGCTGGCGGCGGCGGCAGCGGCGAGAAACGAGAATTGGTGGTTGGCCCACCACCAAGCGGTCCGGAATGATCCGCACATATTTGCCCTGATGACGGATTAAAAACACAGGCGCACAGGCACACGGCACGAAGTGCCCTGACGGTACGTGCCGCGAATATTAATTAATGGGATGATGGGGCTGATAGCGGGCCGCCAAACGAGAAAACGCTTAGTTTTAACGTTTTAGGTGTTAGCTTTTGCATTCGCTACAGCAACGCCCCTTTTGTGTACGTGCGTTAGCAGTTCTTCGTTGATGCAACTCGACGATTTGCTAAATGTACACATGTGTAAACGTATTTTTAGTTTTTACGATGGAGGATAAAAGCCAAACAAATTCAACGCGCAGATTGCAACCGTTGCGCCGACACTGAACACTAAACAACAGTGAATTCAGCTGATTCGACACCGGCGTAATTCAACACCGGATATTATGCATTATTCGCTCGGCGTTTTCAGCAAAATACTACGTAAAACAATCAACAGCAGTTTGTCTACTTACATGTTGGACAATTGGAATATGCTCTTCACTCAATTGATCCCCAGGCAATGTCAGCCCAAATCTTCATTGGTTTGTTTATTTACTTGAAGAGGCGAATCCAACCGCCGCGCGCGTTCGCGTGAAACATTCACCGTCGGCCCCGAAGGTTGGGTGCGTTTTGGTGTTCGATTTGTGGCGCAGAGGTGCGAACCCCGGCGATCCGTATCAGTGGTTCGCTCCGACAATACTGGAGCGAGCCGCCGTGCAGCTATCAACTGGTACACGCTCACACTAACACACGATGTACACACGACGGTGTCTTTACGCACATTAGGAAATAATCGATATTTGAAGAGAGCTCCCTTGTTGGCCGCGCGCTCCGCTTCTGGCAGACGCCACTCACGCCGCGGGATACCGATGCCGAAAGTTTGCCGGCCGTGCACTCGGCTGGCAAGCACGCGCTCGTGGTCGCCCGTTGTACAAGCCGACTGGGCGCGTTATCGCCCGACTTTGACAGTTGTTGGTTGAATGGTAACTGCGCGTGCGGTGGAAAAGGCACAGAGCGCAAGCGCTTTTTATTGTCGTCGGCTATCGAAAATCAAAATACGCAAGTTGTTTGATATTGACATAAACAAGGATATAAATACCGCACATTGATAACATCGTTTTAAAAATAGGAACTGGGAATAACATAATTAATTAATTTCACAAGTTTCGCCAATTAGAAATGAAAAAGATATCAGCTTTTAAGAAGCATTTCATTGCTTAGGCAGTGAAGTAAAAATGTTATCACTGAGTATTTCAATGTAAAATAATGAATCCCTTGACTGTGTTTGTGAAACCGGTATTTTGTCTATAAAGCATGAAATAAAAACCGAAGTCATGAGGATATTCATTATGGTTTAAAATATTTTGCAGCAAAATTCACCACAGTATTGTTTACATTCCACTCACATTTACCATCAAAACAACGAAGTTCTAAATACATACAAGCAAACATTGTACAATAGCCTAAACTGATTATAAAGTTGACTGTTTTTATGCTGTCGTAAAAAATCAGGACTGGATTGTGTTCATGATTGGAAAGGAAACTGCATCATAAACTGAAGGAAATGATTTGTACATAGTGTAAAAAAATGTCCCGCAGTTATAAATTACAGGTGTTAGACGCATTTATTCACACCATAAGTTTTTCTGTTGTTTTTTCATTAATCAAAACCTCCCACGCTTACTTGGCTTTCTTAGACTTAATCTTACGCATGTAGAACTCGAGTTCCTTGCCTTCCAGCACATATCCGTCGGCTCTACCGCACTGACCCGGTCGGGATGCCAAGCACGCTGCAAAAATCAAAACAAATAAAATAAGTACCTGTACATTTGTGCTATATATAAATTTAGTTGTACATATATGAAGTGTTAAGACTGTTTTTAATGATCAGAGTAACTATGACAAGCAAGTCACAGGACAAGAGGCTCTTCAAAACGAATCACCTACAATTTTGGCCTCGCTTTAGGTTTTTCATCATACAAATGTTCTATTGGAGTGATATATTTTGAATAACCCAAAAAGGAACTTACCTAACAGACGACCAGTTGTGAATTGTTCTTCAATCGCTGGTTCGACCTTGGCGGTGCGTTGTCTCACTTCGTATTTCTTCGCTACCTTCTTACTACGCTTCTTGTTGATGAGGGCTTCTTCAGCTTCAGTCTAAAACAAGGAAGAGAATGTAAATCAAATTTCTTCAACCATGAATATTAATTACAACTTCAAAAATCAGAATTAGCAAGTTAATTGAAAATCATTTTATCTCATATGACACGCAATTTGTTTCATCATAGTATCAGAGCGCTGTGGAATGTATGTATAGTTTATGTCTTCAGCACGAGAGTCGGACATGTTACTACTTTCTCATCATGTACTAAGAAATCCCAAACCAGCTTATTTCTATAAAAAAGAAATTTAAGTAACACTCACCAGCTTAGCGCCCTTCTTGCGACCCAAAGGAGTAATGTAGTGACTTTCATACCACTGTCTGAATGGAGTGGCATCAATGACAACAATGGCATTCTTTACCAAAGTCTTGGTACGGACCAATTCATTGTTGCTGGCGTTGTAGACAACGTCGATAATACGGGTCTTGCGAGCGGTACCCTCAGATCCCCAGGCAAAATTACCGGTGTCCAAACGCAGGGCCCTGTACTTGGTGTTGCCACCGCGGGTGCGCACATAGTGGACTCTCTGTGGGCCAAGCTTGGTGTTGGCGGCTGGGCGGCCTAACTCGAACTTCCTCTTCTTACGAAGAGGCTTCCTTTTGCCTCCGGTGGCGCGCCTTTTATGCCAGTGATCCCGGCTGATACCTAAAAACAAATAACCACTATGTTATTACAAGTACTTACTTCATTGTGTACGAAACTCGTGTGAATTTATAAATTTATTCAGAGCGCTGTGGAATGTATAGTTTATGTCTTCAGCACAAAAGGTCGGACATTAACTAGTTTCTCATCATATACAAGAAGATTACAAGGTGACTGTACACCCAAGAGAACATGTTTTGAATGTCATATCAGCAAGTTGGTTATGTTTAGCATCTTCACAAATTCTCACAGAAATACACAGAAATATTCACTGAACTCGATTTATAATAATCCACACGAGCTGATTCCGTTGTTTGATTCACTATTTGGCCATCCAGGTGATGGATGTTTGGAGATTTCGTTAAAATCCACCGCTCAAACACTTACCCATTTTGCCTGAAATGAACTAAAGAGAGAAAAGGAAGTTACCAACTCAACGAGGTCCCAGGTCGACTTCCACTAGGCTCTTGCCGCAGTGCTGCCAACTGTTCTCTAGTGACATTAAAACTTTATTTTATAACTAATTCTTTATTTAAAACATGTAAATAAACATATATAACTATTAAATTAAAAGTGTTTTATAATTTATTTAACATTGATTTGATTTTAATTTACTACAGATTTTTTAAATATTTGAAATTTTAGTGGAAGAAAAGACCTTCTCCCACTACAAATAACCAGTTTTCTTACTACTTATTGCGCTTTCCAACTTCATAACACAACCTAACCACACAATAACCATGTGTGATAAATAAAAGTTTGTTCATGAAGATTAATTAGGAATTATTAATCAATATGCAGGTGTCCGACCCAAATAATGTTAAGATTTATAATCTTAGTGCCGGAAAGTCACTCCCAGAGGTATGACATAGCATTTATCTTCAATAATCTTAACTTACTTAAGTGAATGAGGTAAAAATATTAATTTTAAACTTACATTATTTTTAGTGGCTTTCCGAGCGTAAACGACGTGCATTACTCAAAAAGAACATTGATATTCGGCGTAGAATTGAACTTATTCAAGATTTTGATATGCCAGGACTAAGCACCAATGTTAAAGTGTCTAAAGATGGCCAGTATATTATTGCTACTGGAACCTACAAGCCCAGAGTTAAATGTTTTGATGTAAACAACTTATCTCTTAAGTTTGAGAGATGTTATGATGCAGATGCTGTTGCTTTTGAAATACTAAGTGATGATTATAGCAAGGTACTATAGTTTTTAATAAACAAATGATAAATTTTAGAGTAATTTTGTGTTAGATTTTGTTTTAATTTTGTTCTAATCAATAATAAATTATAAATTTCAGTTAGTATTCCTCCAGTGTGATCGTTACATAGAATTCCACTACGCCGCTGGACGTTACTACCGTCTTCGAATACCAAAGTTTGGCCGCGATATTAAATATCACCCATCAACATGTGATCTTGTTGTCTGCGGCATAGGACCAGACATTTACCGACTCAATTTAGAACGCGGACAATTTTTAACACCATACACAGGAACCGCTTCTGCCGTAAATCGCATGGCAATCAATCCACAAAACCAATTGATTGTCTGTGGCACACAAGAAGGCAAAGTAGAAGCATGGGATTCAAGAACAAAGACAATTGTTGGCACATTAGATTGTGCTTTCAATTGTGCGGTGGCAAACAAGCACGTTGAAACTACGGCAGTCACTTCCCTCAATTTTTGTGGAGGACTTCAAATGGCTGTTGGTACATCCACTGGTCAAGTGTTACTGTATGATATCAGATCTAATAAACCGTTTTTGGTGAAGGATCACATGTATGGTTTTCCAATTAAAGACGTTGAGTTCCACGCGAAACAAGATTATGTTTATTCTATGGATAAATCTGTTGTTAAAATTTGGGACAAGAATAATGTAAGTTATATATTTATATTTTTTAGTGAGATGGATGATTTGATTATGATTAACTATTCTAGGGTAAATTATTTACATCAGTTGAAGGGGAATCCGACTATAACAATCTATGTGTTGTACCTGGTACTGGTCTAATGTTTATTGCTAATGAAAACACAAAGATACAATCGCATTACATTCCCAGTTTGGGTCCCGCACCAAAGTGGGCTTCATTCTTGGATTCATTAACCGAAGAACTAGAAGAAACCAACACCGAAATTGTTTACGACGACTACAAGTTTGTAACTAAAACTGAGTTGGAGAATTTGGGATTGGATCATCTGGTTGGTTCTAATATGTTACGTGCGTACATGCATGGGTATTTTGTCGACATTCGTTTGTACAAGAAGGCCAAGTCTGTTGCTAATCCATTTGAGTTTGAAGAGTATCGTAAGAAGAAAGTACGTGAAATTATCGAAAAAGATCGTGTTAATCGTGTACAAGTGAATAAACTACCACAAGTCAATAAAGATTTAGCTCTGAAACTGATGGATGAACAAATGGATCCAAAGAAGAGGAAGAAATCTAAGAGCAATTTACTTCAGGACGATCGTTTTAAGGGATTGTTTGAGAATGCTGACTTCCAAGTTGACAAGAATGCTGAAGAGTACAGACTGCTGAATCCTGTACTCTCAAGATTAGACAAAAATAAAAAGAAGGAATTAGAAAAGAAAATTTTGAATGGAGAGTTTGAAGCGATGGATGACGAGTTGGAAGGGAAGAACAGTTCGGACGAGTCCAGTGATGACATGGAAGATGACGATGAAGGTGAAGAAGACAGTTCAGATGATGATCAAGCTTGGACCAAGGAGGTGAAGAAACAACATAAACTTATACAACGTGAGAAGCGGCAGAAAGAACGGGAAGAAGGCAAACAACCGAAAATGTTTGAACTACGGCAAGGTGAAGAATTCAAAGGTGTACAACATATGAAACGAAAAGCGAATAAATCATCTTTGGGTGAAAGGTTGAACACCGAAGGATCTAACGTACGCATGGTGGGTAGTATCGGCAACAGGGAGATGACTTTCTCTACTGGGAAGCGAAAACGTGATAGAAACATTGACGAGAAGAATAAAAGGCATCATGAGGAGAGGAAACAATTAATGCGGCCGACGTTTGGTATGAGAAGTAAAAAGCCTATGTTCAGGAGGTGAATATAAATTATTTATAAGTTAATAAAATAAAATCTAAAATGTCTAAATACTGTCCAAGATTTACATAAATACGACTGTTGTTAAATAACCCTTTGAATCTGTTGAGATCCGGAGGATCTTTTTACGATGCAATTCTACAAGGAATTAAATACGTTATTACTCATGCATAAAACGTGCTATATATCATTAATTAATACGCTATAAATACTAATTAATACTTGTAACTTACCAGAGAGCACCATAAAAGTAGTAGTTATACTTAAACGAGTATGAGGCTGCGGCGTCAAGTCTTGAATTGTTAATTCTACGCCTGGATGAATAGTTCGCAATGAGTGAATGTACCGCATCCTTCAGAAATTGAATGATATATAAGAAAACTGTAAAACATTTAAGTATAAAGCCAACCTGTCATGTAGTAACCATTCACTGGTGTCTACTGCAATTGAAGCTTCTGAAGCCACAGTTATATCAAATTGTGGTGCTTGTGGCAGTCTAAGTTCCTCAACACCTAAAGCCGGGGGAGTAGTCATCGGAACTATAGGCCCTGCTTCTTGATCCACTGGCAGAGGAGGCAACTGAGGCATTGTGGCATCAATCTCCACAGGGACAACATGTGAATAGTCTCCTTCAGCTGCCTGTGGGACAACAGCCTCTTCGACTCCGCTAATGGTTGTCGCAAGTCTGATCTGTGATACAGGAGTTTGATGTACCAAATCGTGCTGGAATTTTACGACTTTGAATTTTGGTAGTAGATAATTAAAGTGGAGATCTTCCTCTTCCAGAACTTCTAAGTTTGGTACTTCGTGATAGTCGTGGTGGAAGGCCGCTGCGACTTCGTTTTGCTCGGTTCGTGGTTTGTGTCTAACAAGGCGATTGCGTCGACGATCTGATGGACGTCTTGGGACTATGTGTGGACGCCTTTCTTCGCGAGGCATTGGCGGTTCCATACCGATTTGGGTTTCGTCTACTGCAGAAGGTGCTTCAGGAAGGGGTACCGGTTCGGGCTCAACGGCAGGTACAACATCTATTAATTCAGGCACAGGTGCTATGTTGTCATCTTCGTTTCTAACTGTACCGAAATCGAAAATATCCTTAACAGAAAAATAATACGTTATAAAGAATAAAGACAATATTTCATTTTTTTTTACTTCTGTTGGTGCAAGTGGTACTTCTTGAAAGACTTCAGCTTCTTGAGCTTCTGGAAGAATATGATGATCAGCAGGTAGTTCTTCACGTCTTGCAAGTTCTGGGAGTTCGATTGCTGCTTCTAACATATCTTCATAATCCGGAACGACATCCATCTGCCTTTCAGCTCTTGGTCCTCTCGGACGCTTTGGTTTATCAGTTCGCATTTTGTACATGTTCCTACAAGGCAAATTTGACGAATATAAAATAATTAATGAGTGTTTGCAATTCTACCATTCCGCATTAAACTTCTCCATTTTTCTGATAAGTGCTTCCCATTGTAATTGAAGTGCAATCGCCAATCCGCTGAGGAAGAAAATGTTCGTCATTTGAATGTGGTCTGGAGTACTTGCTATTAATGTCCGCAACTCATCGCTGAAAATTACACACGAATGAACAAAATGAATCAAACAGCAAAGTTCTTCGTACCTTCCAACATTAATATCAATGCGTCCAGCATATTTTACCAAAATTCGCTTGTTTGTAATGCCTTTCTCGGTGCGTCGCATTTGCCTTCCGATATCCGCGGCCAATTCTAAATTTTCTGAGAAGTCTTCCATTTTGAATGTCGATGAATTTCGATCGTGTTGAGAAACTTTTACAAAATAGATAGCACATTATTTTAAAATATGTTAAAGATGTTATTGTACTAAAGTAAAACAACTTAAAAGGCTACTTACGACCTATTTACTGTTTTAGTAAGCGTTGTACAATGCAAGTTTGTTAAAACTATTTGAATTTGTACTGTTTCAAACTGCACTTGTAACCTTCTAGGCACGCTATTAAAAGCGGGAGGTGAACCGAAGTTTTAAAGCGGGTGACTCGTTTATTTAGCGCGCATGCTCTATGTGCACCGAAGCCACTGCGCTAGTCAGTGTAGTAAAAATTTAAAAATTATAACTAAAATTTCAATAATACATATTATATGTACTAAGAAATTCCATAACTAAAGGTTAAACTCAAATTTTTATTTAATTGCCAAGAATTAATTAATATCCATATCCATTTTCTATTAATGAACGTAACATTAATGTTAGACAACCAACATTTCACTAAAACCATTTTTTAAGTATATTTAAAATATTTTAATTAATTATATTACAACATGCACCACAACTGCATAGCGACCTTTAATAAATAAATAATCAAATGGCAAAAAACGATAAGACAACTGCATGGTTGGGTCAATGAAGGCTAATAATTGAGCGAACATCAGTTGCTAACTTAGCATCTCAACAGCGCAATTCAACGAAACATCGTATGTAACAGCACATAAACAAATTTCTTCTTATTCTAAAGTTTTTTTATAAGTTTAATACATCTGTTTTTACTATTCATACGTGCGCGCATTGAATTTGTTTACGTATAGTGCTATCGTGGTATTATCACAAATCAAAACGAAGAAATAGAAATCAGTACATGAAACTTTAACATTGTATGGAATAACATCGTATGTAAAATGCCATTCAACAACCAATAGCCAAATATTCCATAAGAAACAAGTTAAAACTACTTAAAAGCATTTAATTATACTAATTTTTAGAGTTTGTCGCGCTTGTAAATTAAACACTACTAATTTTAATGGATTTCGCTCAAACGTGCAGAAAAAATGGTGATCCAGATGCCGGACATCCGGCTTCACTCAGTTACTCAGTAAGTAATTCACTAGTGTTTTAAATACATATTAGCAGCTTTTCTTTCAGGCTGGAGACATAACAGAGATAACAATCCACGACACGCCATCCCATTATAGCGTAACAGCAGTGCTCAACTATTGCAAAAGTAAAATTCTCAAACCCTACCTGCGATTACTTTGCATCGTTGGCTTACGTCCGCTATCAACACACGAAAATCAACCCTGCATTGAATTCTTCAGCTATTACTACACCTGCCAAGTGATTTTCTTCATGATAATCGGATACATCCTGCAATACATGTCCTGCTTCCGACGAGATCGTGGTTTTGGCATTAAGCACTTCAACAAGTCGCAGCATGAAAACTCTACTGTGCCAGACATGGTCTTCGATCGCATATGCCACGGATCGTTGCTTTTCAGTTACATAATTCCACACGGTCTACATTTATTGGGATACATGCACGCGCTCTCTACATTTCGCTCATCCGATGACGACCAACTACCGAGTTTAATGGAGCGTGTCTTTCTGGCGTTATCAAATCTTTCGGATGGATTCATGAGCCAAAAGAAGCTGGTAAAGATGTTGTGGTTGTTCGTGACTGTCAGTTTGATATGGATGACACTCTCTTTTGCTTGTATTAACATAATGATGGCGGAAGCAATGATTCAATTCAGATGGCTGGAGAACAAACCGGAATATTGTTTAATGCTGATGAAAGTATTCTTAATCGCTTGTACATTGTGGCATGATGTTATTCAAGCTACTGTCATCAGTAACTATTGCCTACAGGCGCAGTTATTAACATCATATCTGCAGTTTTTACGTGCGAAGATTCTACAACATTCTTTGCATCCTGTGGAATGGATGAAAGACATTGGTGAATTTAAAAAATTGTTGAAGTACTTCAACTATCAATTGGCACCTGCCGTTTGTATATTCTCAATGACGAATATGACATTTGCAATTTCGGGTTTCTTATGGTTGTTGAATTTTGATCCGGTTGATACAGACACTTTTCCGATTTATGGTATAAGTTGGCTGAATGTTTTGTTATGGTTCCTTATTGCGTTTGCTCCTTTTATACAGGTATGCATTTCCACAACTATTAGTACAGAATCAATTTTAAAAATTTAACTTTCAGGCTGCAAGACTAACAAGCGCCTGTGAATCAATTAGAACCGTTGGACATGAAGTGCGCACCAGGCCATTTGTGCACCAGACAACACCGGGGAATAAATTGGATTCCATTCTGTTATTCTCGTCCAGTTTGCGATTTCGTGCCAAATTATTTGGTGTTCCCATCCATGCGCGCTGTGTGCTGCTACTGCTCACTCTGATAAGTGTAGTTACATTCGTGCTTGGTCAATTGCATTACCTAACACGAGACAGTCAGCATATCAATGTGCCTTGATTGCAAGTTTCAATTGTAGTGGGCTACAACTACTTACTCTTACCAGGATACAAAAGTAACGTTAGTTTATGTATCTATGCGTCAGGTGAAAACGCTTTTATAATGAATATGGTTTTAATGCGAATCTAATATAAGTTTTAGCGAAATAAACTTCAGCTTTTCTAGTAATCTTTCTTTGGATTGCTATCACAAACAAGTCAGATACATGATATATAAAATGAACACAATGTTAATGTTTAGGTTCTGAAATGATTGGCAAAAATAAAACGATTGTTTCATGTAAATATATAATTTCGCTAATATAATTTACTACCTACAGCACTTACGCTACTTAAACACCTGCACCTACAATCTCCAATTGGTTAAATTTCCCTTTGTTGAGCGTACATGTAAAGATAAATTTACATATATACCGTTTGAATCGCCGCATCTTGTATGTCTCCATTCTCGGAAACTTTACAAAATGCATCTACAGTCCAACATACAATGAAACACTACTACTCCATAGCGCAGTAATAAACAATGTATAATATGCTAATAAAAATCGTGTAAACAAGATTGTGGCATTTAAGGAGCTATGCTATAGCCATAGCCAATGTATTAGCGATGAAACATCCTCCTGTGTGACTTAACGAGTCCTCGGCCGCGACAACAACTGCTTCAAGCTGAAGGACGACACGCCAACACCGATACCAGCCAGGACAAAGGCAGTCGGGAAGACAAACTTGTCCGAGTGGCGCGAGGCTGTCGGCACATTCTGCAAGCAAAACATTCGAATTATTTTTGATATCAAGCATGGCATTGAATCGCAAATATTTTGTAAACAAAACTTCGCAGACCAAATGTGTGTGATTAATGCGATAAATGTTGTTGATAAGAATAATTACAACTAAAATACTATGTAATCGTATTTCGCACACATATTAAATGCTATTAATATATTAGATTAATCACGAGTGCAGCACGTGAGACACGATTTATCGATTGATACGCTTCGATTAAAATAACAAACTTAATTATTGGGAATAAATAGACACTTATGAATTAATTAATGAAATATCGTAGCGTGTGCTGTGTGGTATCTACTAGAGAGCGATAAATTGAGAAAAATATGAAACTGCGTCATTTTTCACTGCACACGGGCCAAATATGTGTTTATGCATATTTCGAAAACAAACCGTGCCAAAAAATAAATGACGCATAAGAGCACGTTCACTGCGAAGACAAACATTAATTTCATTCTATATTTGGCCAAATACAAGAACAATTGAATGGTAAATTCTAATCACAATAAATTAATCACAATAATGCTGTGTAATCTAAGCAAACTTTCATTTTCACATAATAATAAATTTTATCACTAAATGTATAATACTGAGAATACTTGATTGCAAATCGGAAAAACCGGCCTTATCACTCTAGTGTAAACTAGAAACGCTTACAACAATGACATTGTTGTAGTAAACCGATTGTTACCATGCCACAAATCAAATAAATACGGGATTTTCTTTTGATACATGGAAAGAAATGGATTATTGTCATTGAAATTAAAATAAATATTCCCATAATTACTGGAATATCCAACAATTCCATTAACTTTATTTTCCACTGTTAATGTAATCTACATTTATCATAATGAAGAGGATATTACAAATCAAAGTTCCTGTTAAGCAAATAATCTAAAAATAAACCTAGAGCACATTGCCAATAAGCGAATTTAAATAGCAATAAAGATTTAAAATAGCTGAACTTAAGAAAGACATGTAACACTTATCCATACCCTTGCCAAACATAATAATTATTCACCTATTCCGATCATTTAAATTCATTTAAAGACTTAGTATACAAATTTATGATTCTAGTAGGTTCTAGCAGTTTGCAAAGGAAAAGTTGTGTATTTATATAGTCAAGAGAAAGTTGTTAACTGATAACTAAAAGAAAACTCACCTGTGCAACTGTGAGGCGCAGTGCAAATCTGCTGGCTTGTGTTAGTTTCATCCTCCAATGAAATCAGCCCCTAAAATGAACAAGAACAAGATAAGTACGATACTCTCTGGACAGCCACAAACGCATGCACGCAATGCGGACGTGCGTATAAATCGCAAGCGTGTTATTGTCACGGATATTAATTTTGCGTGCCGAAGAGTAATACAACAAATTATCTTGTTCAAGTATGACTGGGGCTATGAATTGATGGCAAATGCACTGCGAGCGGCGTTTCGCAGCTATTTTAGTGGCGATTGGAGCCACAACGCGACGTTTACATAACCTTAGGCGATGGTTCACGACAAATCGCTCTCTGCGACGTCAAACAGACCGATTGCAATGCGCAAAAATAGTTCAAAGTACTTTATCAACGTGTTTACGTAATGAATAACTTGCGGGTGCAGAATTACACATAGTTTTGAATAATATAACGATTTTTGAATGCACAATTTGATTCACGTACCTCTAGCTCGAACGCACAATGATGAAAGGCGGAGTCACGAGTTGCACGGCGCGGCGAGGCGCACGATCGGGAAGTTTTTCCTTATGAGCACGAAGGTCGAAACGTTTGTGAATTTAAATTGCTAGAAATACGCGTGCCAAACGAACTTACGTACTGGTGCAGAATGACTTTTCGGAGCGACGGCGCCGGCTTGTTATTGATTTTAAAAATAGCAATGTGAAATGTGAGGGCGGCAATCGCCGGAAGTGACCGAAGATGCGCTGTTCACCATTTCATTTTGAATGCTTGACTTTGCTTAAATATTTTGTTTACCTAAATCGACATGTCGAGGATTTAAATATATTTTGATGAATAAATTGCATCCAGTTTTTTTTACGCAGCTAAATAAATATTAAAAGATTGAGGCAAACGCGGAACCACAAACTTGACATTGAACACACAATATCAAGGCCTCTCGTTTTTTTTTACCAGACAGAACTTACTTTACTATATGTTACTTGTTAATAATCATTAACAACAGCTTATTGACTCATGAAATAACATTTATTCATTGAATAAATATTATTTTTATTCTTTGTTAATCATTTTATCATGTGATTTGTTCTTGTTTGTTACAAATCAACAATTTAAGAAATAGGTGTTAAACATTTCATCATTTCTTTTACATTTATCAATTAAATATCCATAAGAGTCTAGAACTTATCCTATATTTTATCCTATTCCATTGGTTCAGGTTTTAAAAACTTTCTTTGATTCTTACTTTGAAACTTCTTCCCAATATTACTTGATAATGCAGTTTGTTTGGCCATATCAGCATCTGAGACATCTTTTTCTTTTGCCTTCTCTATTTCTTCCATCTTTTTATTGTATTCTGTCTGCATGTACCTCTCTATATCTGGATTCATTCCACCAAAAGATAATCTTCCTTCCATGAGATTTTTGCAGGACGACATACTTGCATCCATAAATATAAGCTCACCTTTCTTCTTCATACTATCAGTAACTTCATGGGAATAGAGTGCTGTGCCAACTGCATCATCTGCTTCTTTCTCCAGACTGTCTTTTGTTTTCTTCATGAATTTCATATCAAGGAGGCCTTTGGATAATTTCGCCTTCTGTCGTTCTTCCATTTTGATTTATTATTATTCTAAATTAAACAGTTTAAATCTATATAGGGCAATTTATAAATTGTATAGCCGATTACACGTTGTTTAATTTGTAGGTTATTGTTTTGAAATTGCTGTATGTACAGTTGTCAAGTGTCATATTTTAAACTGGTGAATTGCTGATTTCTCGCTGTACTCTGCGCATGAGCGGTGTGAAGTTAAAGTTTGTTTGTCATCCTCGTAACCTCACAATTGTTGCAGCCTTACTGCCGAACGAAATTGTGATTCCTCGTCAATTCTGGTAAAATCACAAAAATGCCTAGCCAGGACGTAACGATCAACAAGGTGGTGGTTCATCCGTTGGTCTTGCTCAGCGTGGTGGACCATTTTAACCGGATGGGTAAAATCGGCAACCAGAAGAGAGTTGTTGGCGTTTTACTTGGTTGCTCTAGGGCTAAGGGGGTGCTCGACGTTTCCAACAGTTTCGCAAGTAAGATTTTGCAATATCTACTTATTGCATTGTAATATATCTACTTAAGTTAAAAATCACTTTGCTAATACAAAAACCCTTCTTATTGTTTGGTTAGTTCCCTTTGATGAAGACGATAAAGACAAATCAGTATGGTTCCTGGATCATGACTATCTGGAAAACATGTATGGTATGTTTAAGAAGGTAAATGCACGTGAAAAGGTTGTTGGCTGGTATCACACTGGTCCAAAACTCCATCAGAATGATATTGCAATCAATGAATTGATCAGGAGGTATTGCTCAAATTCAGTTTTGGTCATCATTGATGCCAAACCTAAAGACTTAGGTCTACCAACTGAGGCCTATCAAGCAGTTGAAGAGGTGCATGATGATGGATCACCTACATCTAAAACATTTGAACATGTCCCAAGTGAAATTGGTGCTGAAGAGGCGGAGGAAGTTGGTGTTGAGCATTTACTGAGAGATATTAAAGACACCACAGTAGGAACACTCTCGCAGAGAATTACAAATCAACTTCTTGGTTTGAAAGGACTGCATTTACAACTTGCTGAGATTAAGGAGTATTTATGTCAGGTTAGGGATGAAAAAATGCCAATTAATCATCAAATTGTCTACCAGCTGCAAGATATCTTCAATTTGCTACCAGACATTAACCAGGAATCTTTCAATAAGGCTTTCCATGTTAAAAACAATGATCAAATGCTCGTTGTTTACTTGGCTGCAATGGTGCGGTCAATTGTCGCGTTGCACAATTTGATCAACAATAAGTTGACCAACAAAGATGCTGAAGAAGTGAAAAAGGATGACAAGAAAGACTCCAAGGATAAAGAGAAGGAAAAGGAGAAGGAGAAAGATAAGGACAAGGATAAGGATGCCGCCAAGAAAGATGAAAAGAAGAAGTGAAGACATAGTTGATAAATTTACTTAAACTTATTGAATTATTGTAATTTGTAATAACAGATCATTTGTCCTTAATAATATCTCATTATTTCTACAAACAAGTTAAGATATACCTAAAGAACATTAATCTACAATTCAAGTTGCGGTTGAAATTGCAACTCAATCTATGTTTTATTGAATGCTAGTTATGAACGCTATTTACAAAATTTACAACTACTGTTAAAGTTGTAGTATCCTTTTCAACTTTAAAACTAGACAACAATTTGCAGTAATTTCTTGGAAATTTTCTATTACTACACAAAAAAAATTGTAGCACAAACTTCGTCAGTTAATGTGAAAAAGGGTCAAAACAATTACCTGCTGTTTCATATTTGGGGGATTATCCCCACTACACCCCATCTTGTTGCCATTTTTCGTAACAATAAATTCGGATGGCTCTGTAAACAAACATTCCAAACAACTGTAGTTGCGCACAGATCTCGAAGTAAACGTATCGATCTTTACTTACACGTCTTATATCATGTGTGATTCGCCGATAGTGCCAGATCAAGATATGGATTTCTTTGAAAATGCAGAAGGTATGAAACACAATCTAACAAACCAAATAATAAATTCTTTAATACAACAATTATATTTATGTCTATTATATTTAGATATGGACTGGAATTCACATGAAGACATGAAATTCTGTTCGTATTGTTTCGACGCCAAAGAGCCGCTCGCTGTTTATCAAACGCATTACATGTACACACTGGAAGGAAACGTGGAATGTCCAAAACTGCGCCGTGAAGGTTGTCCAAAATGTGGCGAGACGGGAGATAAATCACATGTCACCGAACGATGCTACAAGATGCGAATGAATTACAAGAGTCGTAGGTGTTTGCGCCCAAAGAGGAAAATGCCATCGCTACGTGTTCAGCTTTTGAAGAAATTGACTGCGAGAGCAATACGCACTGAATTGTTCATTACACAGGAAACAATTTGAAGTATTTAGTATTATTTTAGTATATCAGTTTATCTTTTCTTGTTTATATTGTAGAAAATATTGTTTTGCAATGATATGTTGACAAGTTCACCAATGAAGTTTTTGTTATTTATGTAAAAAACAAACAAATGTAATTACTGAAACTTGTTTTATATTATTTGACACTTGTGGTAAGTCAGTCTGATCACAATGTCTGTTCCTATATATTTTGAGATGGAACAATCAGTAAGTCAATCACAGAATATCATTAGTAACAAGTCACTACGAGGTGAGTTGATATATCGCCGTTAAACATCATTTATTTCTAATTATATACATATTTAATAGATGATTTCAAATTCTGTCGCTATTGTTATGAAACCAAAGAATCTGAGGCAGTCTACAGAAGTCATTTTATGTTTCAAAAGTCTGGGGAAGCTGCATGTGCAAAATTACGAAGAGATGGATGTCCCAATTGTGGTGCACGAGGTGATAAAGCTCATGCTTCTGATATGTGCCAACATACTCCACAGATTTGGCAATTACGACGACCAAAGATGAGGAAAGCAATATCATTACGGATGCAACTACTGAAAAAATTGGGTAAGAAAGCATGGATGGAAGTGAAGCAATTGCAAATTAACTGTTAAGGCTATTTTGTTTTTATTTATTGTCTGTGTAATGTTCATGCTAGTTTAAAAAAATAAATCGTACATTGATTCGCTATATTCGCTAAATAGGAACGCCTGGAATGTATTCATTCAAAAAGTCAGGAACTTGAGTCATTTCAATTATTTGCTTGACCCGTTCAGCGATGATTCTGGTCTCTTCAGTATCTATCTCAGGCGAAGTGTAGTGCACCAGTTTTTTCGTGCGTTTGACTGCTTTCATACATTTTTTACCTAGTTTTTTCAAAAGTATCAAACGCAGTGACACGGCCTTTCTCATTTTACTTTTGTATCTATGTGTAGTCCGTGTTGTCAATCTGTTTTCGCACATTTCTGGGATGTGTGCATTTTTGCCACGTTCACCACAAATAGGACAGCCTTCACGTATTACTTTGGGGCATTGAATTTCAGCATACTGATTTAGTAAGTAATGACTCTTGTAGACTTCCGGTGATTCGTGTGTTTCGTAGCAGTTGCGGCAAAATTTATATTTAACGCTTTGAGGTGATGCTAATAAGCGAATACAATTTTTGAGATAGATTGATTTTTGTGATCTTGTAAATTGATGTTTTACCGTCTCGTGAAAACCTCTTAGCTGCATGCATCCGCTGAGATGAATGAATTGATGAAGATAGGCTCGACATTGATGCACAGCGGTTTTTATTAATTATTGACAATTCAAAGCAATTGTTTCTGATTGCGTTAGATATCTTAGATTATTTAAATACAAAGCATACTGTTTAATTATTGTTCAATTATTTATTATTATTCTATATTTCATTCATTTTTATACAAAATTGTCACATTTCTAAGTCATTACATTTCTCAGCATAACTATTTACAACATATTTACAAACATTTAAATAGTACATTTTTATTTTTTCTTAGGATATTTCTTGTGCTTCTTAAGGATAGCTTGGCGATTTTGTATTTTTGCTTCTAATAATTTACGATGGCGTACAATTGTCTCAAGCGTCAATTTCTTCAAAAGGCGAACTCTTAAAGACTGATTCTTCTTTGGTTTCTGAGCCAGAAGAAAAGCTTTCTTGGCAGCTATCATGTTACTGCGTGTGTCGTTCGTTTTGCTGATTACTTCCGCTTTGTCCTTAGTCTGGGGGCAATCGATGGCGCAATGAGAATGTTCACCTTTTTGTCCGCAAGTTAAGCATCCTTTTGCTCTCATCTTTGGACACATGGCTTTTCCATCAAAGTTATAAGCGAAATGTCCCTCATATACAATTGGGGATTCATTCGTATCACGGCAATAACGGCAAAACTTCTTATGAGTTGAAGGTACATTCAAACCTGGAAGTTCGAAAGCAATGATTTAGTAAATTTAATATTTACGAATAGTAATTACGAATATAAATTTAAAAAAATTAAACTTACCAGAATTAAACTTCGATGGGAACATGGTGACGATTTAATAAGTGATAATTAAATCTTAGTAATATAAAATCTTGTAGAAAACAATTTGAATTGTGATTAATACAGTTAGATTTTCCATATTTATATTAGTAAGTGATAAGTTTTGGCGGAAGAAGGGGTAAGTAACATGAAAGGGTTAAGGGGTGGGGATAATCCGATTATGTAATTAGATGACACTCGAACAAAATTATGTGTATTTAATTCTAGTTAAATTTATAATAGACTTTTAATATCAAATTTCAATATAAATATAAAAAGGCTATACAAGTAAATATAAATGAACTCAATATGAATCGACTAATTTCAATAACTTACATTTGTAAACTTGGAAAGATTACTTATTTTGTCAACGGAAGGTACTGGGATGTTTGCAGGAAACTTCTGGTGGTGGAAAATACATCGTAAAGCAACATTCTCATAGATAAGAAGTGCACCAAATTTTAAATCGATTTAAATTTAATAAACTAACTAGGTTTGAAGAACATACATTAACGGAAAATACGTGGTTACAACATCAGAACATCTTATTAAAATAAAAAATTTCTTTCTAACCTTCGACAATTATATTTATACTAGCTTTAACCCGCGGCTTCGCTCGTGTTGAATTCTAGCCAGATGCAGAGGTATTATTGGCTAAACAATTTCTTTATTTTATTTAAAAAATAATTTTTTTTATTAAATAAAAAGTAGCCTATAACCATTCGGGACCACTAAGAATATGTGTACAAATTTTCATGATGATCGGTTAAGTAGTTTTTGCGTGAAAGTGTAACAAACATCCGGACTTTCGCATTTATAATATTAGTAGGGATGAAAGTAATACAATTTTCAAAAGCAAAACCAAATAGCTTTTAAACTTAAATGATCTATTACAGAACCTATTACATTTTCTCTTTATGTGGTTACCAAAACATTTTTATCGGTTTAGTCCAATTGTTAAAAAGTTTTTCCTAACGTGGTGGGGGTAACTCTTTAAACAGTAACTTGGTACTTTATCTAAGCAATTTGTTTTTATTTACGAAAATCTAATAAATAAACAAAAATTCCCTTGAATCAATTCTTTTATCTTTCAAAACCACAAGGTATGAATGAAAACTTTTAAACTTTTATGTTCCAATTGTAATCAAATAAAAATTTTAGCTAGGAATCGGAATAAATATAATTTTAACTCAATTATTTGATTCATTTTGTTATGCACTTCATTGGTTTAAATTATGACTTACCTTAATTCTTCTCCAATTCTTTCATAGAATCTCAATATTTTATTCACTTTAACTCACAACAAAACAATATTATCTACAATTTTATTAATGCTTTTAGTTTTACAAACATTTTAAAAATACTACACAACGGTATATTTACACAACATTATACAAAGTATAAAGAGATTGCTAGAAAAGTCACAATTTTTACCTAATTATACCCTTACTTAATTAATCTTATAACATTATAACATTAGCGAGTTTGTATTATATTACATTAGTAATCTAAACAAAAAGTGTGTTTACGACTAGAGACTTTACAAAATATCATTCCATTATCTCTTATTAGATCATGAGAGAAAATACCGTTTTAATTGCAAATATTAAATAACACAAAGTGAATGATGAGTTGGGAATCGACGCTGTGGAACTTGGAAATATCCCACCACCGACGTATGGTTCAATGTTACTAGTTTTGTTGTAATTTGCAAAGTACCAATTCATATCTTCTGTAGTTGAATCCGGACGTGTTTCACGATTATGCGCCATCGGACTCAATTGATCACTATCTTCATCGTCCTCATCAAAATCAAAATTATTCCCTGTAGAAGAAATCTCCAAATCGCCAAGCAGCGGTGCTGTAGAAGATAAAGGATTTTGTACCTTAGTAATACTCGATCGCCCGCCCATTTTGTTTGGCGTGATTTGTCCACCAGGTATTAACAAAGCTGATAATGGCGTACCGATTACATTATTGTCATAGGTAGTTGCAGATGAATGTGATGTTTCTAAATCTGAATCGTTTCGTAATCGCTGGTTGATGTAGACTTGTTCAATGTTTGCATTCGGTTTTGTTTGAATCGGCGCTTGTGTTACTGGTTTACCTAATCCTGTAGGTGCAGCCACTTTTGAAACTGGTAGTGGCATTGATGAAGCTGGCGTGGCGAGAATAGGCACTCCTGGTACATCAACCACTTCCTTGAAAATCTCATCAAAATTGTCGTTGATTTGTGGCCCTCTTTTGATAACTTGTGGTTTTATAGTAGAACTCTGTACTTGAATGACTGTTGCAGTAGTGTCATCTATTTGATCCTCGGCTAAATCCACATCATCTTCATAATCTGCATCAACACCTTCAATAACTTCAATATCAGGCAATTCGGTTGTGGTTATTATCTCCGGTGTAGTGTGCTGGAGTTTTGTCACTTCCGGTGTCGGATGCCTTTGCATTGGCTGAGTGACAATTAGTGGTGTAACAGTACTTGCACTTGCTTCTGCAGTTTGAACTCCAAAATTATTTGGTTCTTTTGAAGCCAAAGTGGTTTGTGTGATAGGTCCACGTTTGCTTATGAAACTAGGCGTGCTATGTGGTTGATTAGTGGGATCTATCTGTGCATTTGTAGTGGTAAGTCGAGTAATGTTGACTTTTTGCACATTTCCTAAGGTGAAATTACTTTTTATACTTGCAGAGGTTTTGATCTCATCTTGTATGGGTGATTCCATTGGAGTAAAACCCCCACTTCCGGGTAATAATGGTACGAAACCACCCATGTATATTTCCGGATGAGATGGCGGCATCATGCCAATGATATTGTGCCTTTCCGGTAGGTCAGGGGGCGGTGGCGGTCTACTTGCCACCGTAGGAAGGGTTTGTGGTAGGGATGGTATTGGTGGTAATGGTGGTAATTGAGGAGTGTTACCTTTGTTTGGTTTGTTAACAATGGCGGCCTTACGCTCCGCGTTGGGTAAATTTCCTCCTAGGGCACCGCCAACTGATACTCCTGGTCCGATGGGTGGTAAATTTGGTGGTGCCATCTTGCCTTTGTCTACACGATTACTCCCAGCACCTAGGAGGTTGTTCAAATTAAGACTTGGTAGTGGTAGACCAAAAAATGTGAAACCACTGCTACTAGGAGATCCGACCACACCTTTTGGTGTATCGGGCACTTTTGTTCTGTTTTTACTGCTGGCTGCATATATTACAGGCGTGTCACCAGGAATTAAATGTGGTGAGCTAAATTTTTTATTCTGATTAGCACCAGTTTGTTGTTGTTGTTGCTGGTGTTGTTGACCATGCTTCTGAGCATGTACCAATGTTTCGTTGTACGGATAATCAATATATTCGTCATAGAAATAATCCGATTCTTCTGGGGATGGTGCTAATTGATTTTTATCAAAATGTTGTTTTGTCTTGTTAGGATGTCGAAGATTTTGCCACTGTTGTGTATAAACTTGAGAGGTACCATAACTGCCGGGAGCAGTTAACAATTCCGCTTCGCATCCTGGTGCAACCGGATCATTGTGACGTTCTTCTGCTTGACATTCCTGACGTGATAAACGTACCTCTCTTAGTAGGGTACCATCTAAACATCGAGGTCCCATGAGTTGTTGTTCTTGTAACCATGCTCGTAACCACAAAAGACTACATTGGCAAGCCAAGGGATTACCTAAAATCATTACAAATCGTAAACTACATACCAATAATCAAATTTAATAGTATCTTACCGTCTATATCCAAAACAGCAATGTTTCCTCGCAATTTCTGTATGACATGTTCCGGAAAACTCATCATTTTATTATTACGTAAACTCAGAACTCTCAATCTGGGCATACCATTAAATGTAGCTCCTTGAACCGAACAAATCTTATTGTTATCCATTCTAAGTTCCACTAACCATTCCATTCTAGCCAAACTGGGACTTGAAACCTGTCCCAACTGATTATTACTCAAATCTAACATTTCTAAAGACCTCAAACTTCTAAGTCCTGCATCTTCTAAGCCACTAAATTGATTTCTGCTTATATTAAGCATAACAAGATGTGGAACATGATGGAATGCATTAGCTCCAATCAATTTCAATTCGTTATCTTGTAATTCAGCAGTTTGAAGCGATGGTAAATTACTAAATGCAGCATTTGGCAATTCAATCAATTTGTTTTGACTTAACTTCAAATTCTTCAATTGTGGTAACGCATGAATTGCCTTCGATTCAATCTCTTGTAAATCATTATTATCCAAATCAAGTATTTTTAGGTTTAGCAGATTGTCAAAAGCGCCTCGTCGTAATGACTGAATAAAATTATGTGACATTTTCAATTCTTCCAATGATGTTAGACTACTCAAAGTGTCCGGGTTGACATTGTTCAAACGATTGTCAGTCAGATCTAATTTTCGTAACTTCTTCATTCCATACAATCCAGATGGTAAATGAACAAGACTATTATGAGATGCATCAATTGCTTCCAATTCACGTGCGTGTTCCAAAGTTCCCGAAAGTATTTCAGTCAATTGGTTTCGGCTTATATCAAGTTTACGAATATTTTCAGCTCCGGAAAGTGCATCAGGTATTAAGACATCTAAACGATTCTCGCGAAGATTTAACTCCAACAATTCATTAGTGTCTTTCAAAATATTTGGGTTAAGCTTCGAAATACGATTTGCCCGTAAATCAAGCACTTCTAATTTACTTAATCCGCTTAGTGCATTGTCATCAACACCTTGTAAAGCATTCCTACCAAGGTACAGCTTTCTTAATTGTGGTACAGTCCGAAATACACCTGGTGGTATTCTCTGAATTGTATTCCTAGATAAATCCAACATTTTCAATTGTGGTAAATCCAAATCAGGTGACGGCTGGTGCGGAATATTAGTAATTGAGTTTCTTGACATGAAAAGGTACTCCACACCTCTTGGTAAACCCGGAACAAACTCCATTAACTCATTTTGACTTACATCTAATTCATACAAATTTAATAAGTGTCTAAATGTAGCTGGATGTAATGTTACCAATGCGTTTTCGGACAAATTCACGTGTTCTAAACTTGCTGTCATCAAAAACGCAGCTGGATCAACAAAATTAATCTGGTTACTACTAAAGTCCACTTTGCGTAATTCTGGTACATTACTAAGTAACCTCGGCGTAATTCTCCTGAAATAATTACCACTCATATCTAACCCTTTCAATGCCGGTAGGTTCCAAAATGGTGCCTCAAGCCTATCGCTCAAAGAATTATTCTTCAATCTCAATTCTCTCAATGCAGGCATTCCAAGAAAAGCTTCGCGATCAATAATGTGTAATTTATTGAAATCTAATCTTAAGTATTCCAACGTGGGATGCCCGCGCAAAGCACCAAACGGTATTGCTTCCAAATTGTTGTAACTCATGTCCAGGAATGTCAACCTTGGCAAAGCATCGAGGATGGCTCTTAGTTCGGCCACATGAGAAATATCATTATTCGTCAGGAACAATTCCTCAATTCCACTACCGCTGCGCTGCAGAAAGGCTTCCGGATGTACTCGACGCACGCGATTGTTATTTAAATCCAGCGAGCGTAATTCGGGCACTCGGTGAAATGCGCCATTAAGCAGCTCAACGATTTCATTATTGCTCAAGGACAACTTCTTTAAACTTGGCAAATCAACAAAAGCGGCCTCGCCTAGTGTACTGATTAAATTATGATCTAGTTTGAGTATTTCCAGTGCTGGTAGGTCTCTTGCTGCGCGGCCAACAACGCTTGCGTCTTGAATCTTATTACCTTCTAATGACAATTCTTTCAGAGCTGGTAATCTTGAAATGGATCTTAAATGCATCCAGGAAATTCCACAGTTCGATATGTTTACGAGTTTTAGTCGGGGGAGGTCTTGAAATAAACCAGCTTCAAGTTTATCCAGACGTACACTTCCGCTAATCTGGACTTTTTCTAAACTTGGTAAATTTCTGAAGTGTCTGGGTGATAATTCCACAATATTGGATCCTTCTGTTTTAATATAACGTAATTTTGGTAGGCTACTAAATTGTGGTAGGCGTTTCATTGTGTTTGATTGTATTGTGACTGCTTGGAGTAAATTTTGATTGATGAGAGATTCATCAGGTAAACTACGCAGATCTGGTTCAACTATAAAAAGCTCCATTAGAGAATCTTCTAAACCGTGTAACCAGCCATTGGAAACTCGTTCCAGGTTATTGTATCGCAACATGAGACGCATTACTTTTAACGGTAGGAAAGCTTTTCCAGGTAGTGATGGTAAATTGTTGTTTTCTAATATTAATTCATCGATTGGATGTGATATGAATTGACTTAATGATTTTAGACCATCGAGCACTCTTGGTAGGTCACTATGTGAGCACCTGTAACATGCAAAATTAAAAAAATATACGTATTAAACTTAATTAGTGCAAAATTTTATTTTATTAATTAAAATTTTAAGAATGTATGCTTACCACACTTGGTATTCGGTATCTCTTAGTAAACACCGACAAGGCAATATGGCTTCCTGATTAGGACACAATTTCGGCACAGATTGGCCTTGTACTATCACGAACAAAACACTGATGAGGTGCAGAAGTAGTACTTCTTTGAAAACAAAGGCACGAACACGACCCATGATGCTGACTGATACGCAAATTTCACCTCATTGCAGGACGACGATCACGGTGCGATTCCGCGAGTGAAATCAGCCGATTTCCTGATTTGCGGCTTAATTTTGGGAACTTCCTGTGTTTTACTTTCCCACCATTTAGTTGCTATCACAAATTGCCAATCGTTTTACTTCCCTATTCATCGATGTGCTGCACCTGCAACAATGGTATAACAGGATTAAAATGCCTCCTAAACAAGTGATCTACGCAATGCAAAATTGAATACCTATATTAAGCTATAAATTTGTCGTAATCAATTTCCGGCCGGATGCGATTTTCGAATCGTCTTTATGTTTTTCATTAGAGCGTGAACTATGTAAATCGACCCAGAAATTGGTTGTTTGGCAAAATTGATTTATTTTAAAGTGGTGGTAATCAAAGTGAAGAAATAGCTTGATAATTTTCAACAATTTGAAAAGCGATTTCACATTTTTTTATTCTTCTGAAGAGCTTACGAGTATCTACATCTTGAATGCGTAAGTTAAGTCGTAAGCAATTTCATAGACAACAACAAGAGGCAACCAATTTGGATTTTACAGAGCATGGCATCAATAAACTGCGACATCATGTCGAAACATACGTACTCCAAATGTAGAGATACGTAGATTTCGCAAAACGATAAGCATATTCTAGAATTATCTTAAAAGTACGCGAATTTATGTTCAGTTATGTTGCGGAGTATTGTAAAAGATGCTTATTTTGCTTATACAATTTTTTTGGAGTTGTTAAGTTGTAATTGTTAATAAATCAATTAACAACTACCTTGATATTTTCGATCGAATGCAAATTTGCAATCCTCCGACATTTTGCAATAATTAAAAGTGCGTTTAAATGCAGATGAAGCAAACAAAACCTATTTTTCACGCACCGGGTGATTCCGGCCGGATGCGCTCAGAATCGAGCGTAGATAATCGGACTGGCGTTACTGACGTTTCTTAACAACTAACAACAAACACTGGAAGCATTCGCATCTCGACTCAACTTTTCTATAAAACCTTTCGCACTACATGCACGAATGATGATACTTTCTAATGAGAGCGCTGCGAATGCATGTGGATTACATAAATGTTTTGCACTCCAGTTTGCAATCGACGTATTCCAGTCTAGATAATGCGATTTATACCATCAGGAATAAATTGTGCTTTATTACTAACTAGGTTTTGCCCGCGACTTCGTCCCGGTAGTGTTTAATAAAAATATAATTCGTACTCTCTTGTCCTAGAAATAGTATGTGTCAATTCTATCAATAAGATTCGCAATTTATTTTAAAGAAATTAATTATATAAAGAATTGCTAATAATGCACTTCAGCGAGCCATTCTCATTCATTCGGATTCAACTATTTAACTATAACTATGATTGAATCTTAATGCCAACTTTTATCCATGAGAAAAGGGCTGTCTTTAGGGTTATCCCGGCAATTCGTCGAACTTTTCACGCTGTAAAAACCTTCTTTGGAATTTGACGAACATTTTAAAAAAAGAATTGGTCAAATTGGTATAGGCGTTGTTGAGTTATGCGCTTACCAACAGATTTTGCGATTCATTTTTACATTATAGATGACATCAAAAAATTTATTGTTTAATGGTTTATTTATTGCTAAAATTTCTTGAATGAATTTTGTTGCATAATATAAAATCCTTGAAGTGTCGGATGTACAGCTACAATATTTTCCTCATACTTAACAAAATTATGGTAATATCAATAACACTTCACTGTATGAAGTATGGTATGGTTAGTAATCGAAAAAGAAGTGTTAATACTTCTTGTTGTTCGTACACTAGCGTACAAAGCTCGTAAAGAGAAAGTTATTTGTTTTTTTTTTTACATTTTCGTACATTTCATCAACACTCGTACGCGTTGGCATGGTACCTACTATACGACGACGTTCAAGAAATGCAGAAAAGCACCAAAGTGTAAATAAATAATTAAATTCTGGTGTAGAAATGTAGAAATCCACCACTTGTTTGCTCCGTTCTTTACCGTGCTACCATTTCTCGCATTTTCTTGCTCTCTTCAGGCACTCGCTCCACTACCGCGTTTTTGTTTCAATATTTCACTGCATTGTTGTTGTTGTACACATTGTTGTTCGAGTTTTATATGTTTAAACAATGCATTGTTCTGCGAGAAAATGACGCTGGACGCGTTACACAATCGTTGCTAGTGGAGAACGTTTCTAACGACAATATTTCGTCTTGCACTTTTCACTCTTGGGTTGGTATAAATTCATACTACAAAAAGTATAGCCTACAAAATAAGACTTAACTAAAATAATTTTAGACATTAGGTCAATTATGATTATTATTACTGCGGTGTTTAAGGCAAAGTTTGGAATTGCGTGTGTAATCTTATTACTTAATTTGATTACGAACTAGATTTTATGTCGCACTCTGAAAACTATTCTTGATAAAAACGTGCCTAGGCTCAATAATGGAAAGTGATACTCTTCATCCGCAACATACGAGAAATTACATTAGAACTCGTTGCTATTCGAGACGGAACGAATATCAGCTCGATTACTGTTTTTTTATCCTGATTTTTATCATTTACATTTTTAACCTGCAAATAGGTCCTTGGAAAATGCAAAAAAATGTTAATAACATTAAAAACATATTAATTTTGTTACAAACCATAAAATTAAGTTGTCATTTTTATTGTATTAAATTTAAACTTTTTAAATTCATGAAGAAAATCCAGGTTAGATTAGGTTATTTTTAATGTTTTAGGTTATGTAAGTTATAGTCTACGTCAAAAATTAAAAGTAAAAGAAATTCTGACCTGACCAATTTCAATATAATTATTAAGAAATATATTTGTATTATTCGTGTGTGCAAGTATAATGCTTATCCTATCGAACAATTATTAATTTCACCATAATCAGGGTGCTTAAGAATTGTTCAAGAGCTGTTTGTTAACCAACAGAGCAAGAAATTGCCAAAATTATTCAATCTCTCGTATTCGAAGCAGTCAAAGACATGTCGACAACATACTACATAGAAAACTGTCACCAAGCCCACAACTACACAATAAACTTAATGCTTAAATAATGCTTACGAATAACTGGATATTGCTTTGTATCGCAAAGAATAAAATATATTGTAAAATGTATTTTTAGTCTTTAAACATTTTACAACGATTTACAATTACAACAATTTCAAAATTTAATTAATCCTATTGTAATATTTAGGTACTTTCCTTCGTTAAATAATTCGAATTATTGTTGAAATTACCCTTCAAGTTGATTGTACTGATATCATCATTACAACTTACGACTTACAACAACTCGTAATGTGCACTTTCGTTCATACTGTAATTACCGAATAAGCGTCACTATCGTGAGTGCAGTAATGGATTGTCATTGAGAGTTTTTTCGTGCAATTTATAAATACTTATGTTCTGCTGCTGTTCATCACATAATCGTTTGATATTACTTTTTATTTTCTACTACGTTTCTACTCTCTTGTTCTAGACATAGTAGGTATGTGTCAATTCTATCAATAAGATTCGCATTTTTATTATATTAGTTTATTAACTATAACTATGATTGAATCTCAATGCCAACTTTTATCCTATAGAAAAGGGCTGTCTTTAGGGTTTTCTCGAATTATTCGAGTTTTTCTCTCCGTAAGAAACCATCATTGGACTATAACGAACATTTAAAAAAGAATTGGCCAAATTGGTTTAGGCGTTGTTGAGTTATGCGCTTACCAACAGATTTTGCGATCTATTTATATATTATTGGTATTTAAAATTCAATGTTTATATTGCGGTATACGTGATTAAATGATTATGTGCATATCCATAATGTGTTATTTTGCATGCATTGTTTTTATCACGCGATACACGATCCACGATTCAGATAATAATTAACAAAAGCATTGGCAATTAATACGAACAATAACAACATAACGTTCGAAAGTTGCACCCAAACGCGACTCACTTGCAGTCACTTGCAATTACATTCGCAATTACACTGTTTGCAAAGATGGCGAAGTATCCAACGGCACGTAAAAATGAGTTACACCTCGTGGGCGGCAAAACGGCGCAATAGCTGGTTAGATACCTCGCTGCGTCAACGTCGTGAAGTGACATCGGCCGAGCTCTAGCATGTAATAACATGTAACCGTTACAAAAACTCGCGGGCTGATGGCACCGCGACCGTACGAATAAAACACCAGCATAAGCATAAACAAGTGTCCTCACATTGTACATTATGTGTTTGTTCAACGTCTGCTGCTTTGATTTTAATGACTCCCGCGTACGTATTAAGTACAAGAGTAAAGAGAACTTAAGAAGTCGGATGACTCAAAGGCGTCTGTGAACGGAGAAGTACCGTAGTTTACGCGAATAAACAGCCCTAGGTTCGTTGATGAGGACAAACTCATGCACTGTGTCAAGCTCAGGTTTTTGGTATTAAAGTACAACGACCAAATTATTGACTAATACTTTATATTAAAAAAATTGTACAATGGAAATATTTTCAAAAATGCAACTTACGGCATTCAATTTTTATCTAATCTTTGATCCTCGTTAATCCAAAATGTTTGCTTTAATTACTTTGTCCTTTAAAACATTTAATTTGAAAATAAAGATTACATCCTAAATTTTGAAGGTGTTTAGGTATTTTTGTAGTATTCAAATTAAAAGATATAATCTACACACGTCAAAATTGTGATAATTTGATATTATTAACATAGTTAATTTCGCATTATTCATAATTCTTAGTGTTCAGTTTAATGTATGTTATTGTTAGTTGAAGGCCTATTAATAAATAATGTATTAAATACTTTTCTTCAATAATAATAATAAAAGAACAATGCATAAATGCAATTAACAAGTGAAATGCACTTAATTTAAAATGATGCTGTCAAAAAATGATTAATTTCCATTTATAATAATCCGGCTAATCAATTACTAATCAATTTTTTGGTTTTTAAATTATTCACTCATGATTTTTTTGACTTCAAAATTGATTAAATCCACGTATTTTACTATAAAATCATGTAAAAACTGTATTTCTCTTTTTTTGATTTAATCGACCTATTAAAATTAATGCTTTTGAAGCTAATATTGTACGTTTCATTATTATAAGTAATCGCATTCATAAAAATTAGCACATTATAAAACCCACTCAATTTAGTACGCGTTAAATTCAACGAAACCAAAAAGCGCGAAAACGAAAGTTCCAAAATCAGAATTTTAAATCAGTTTAAATCCAACACAGTCGTTAATTTATAAATTAACATACCGTACTTACTTTTATGCACTTTTATTTTCTTCTTAAACTTTTACTCAATCCTAATTTAATAAACTGCACGTTTATTAATCAGTTCGACGCACACAGTTAAAACTTCAGAGATGATACAAATTCAATAGTTCAAAGTTTTATACTTTTAAATCCAGACAGTCAAGTATTGCAAGTCCTTAAAGTTTATTTTAAACTACAATGATGATGTATTTCGAAAGGGGCGTTTCTGCACAAAATGTTTTATCACTCAAAGTAGAAATGACGAATTACACTCGTACTTAACTCGTGCAAGAATTGTATTAAACTGCAAAAGTTCTTCGTTAAAGCACTCTTAAACAACGACTGAAAGCATGCGAGAAGTGCCGCCACACATGTTGGCTCGTGCCGAAACTTCACACTTCAGCAAGCTCCTATCATAGCTCGGCTTTTTTGCTATCTACGTTTAACTTGAGTCTTGAATTGCTCGAAAAAAAAAAGAAACTAAAGAGACTTTGCAGTCTTTAACGCGAATTATTAAAAGAATTGATATTTCAATGGGCATTGTCTTAGCTATCAAAAACAAGTTTTTGTTTACACTCTGAAGGACGCAATTATATTTTGGTAGTGTTCATCTGTTCATTATTACCGATTGTGACAATAATAAATTACTACAATTGATTTATATAATTTGAGAAAGGTAATTACATCAACCAGAAATTTAATTGAGATGTGGAACAAATTGATTTCATAAGGCGCTGTTCTTAATATACTTTTTTAAGTTTTTTTTTATTATAAAAGTAATAATAATTATTACTTCAACATAATAATTTGCACTAAATTATTATTCTATTAGAAATTGCATTTGACATTGATCGCTTGTAGAAATATTTGCGAAATGCTGTTCGAGCAATTGTTAAGTGTTAAATTACTGCAGGATGTAAATAAAAGTAAAATAAGAAATTGGGAAACAGTAATGTACCGCGCACAACTTGAATGAATTTCTTGCTCGTGTCAGTCACGTCGGGTTGGTGGGCGTTCGCATTCAATTTGCTAATTCAACAGCTTGCTAAGCAACAACAATAATCTAATTAAAGGAAATCGACTTGCCATTCTTACCACTTCAGTTTGTACTTGTGGATTACGTTTCGGAAGACGTGACGTGTGTTATTACACTTTTGGAATTGTTATTACTGCATTGTACTGGCTCAAATTTCTAAACATTACATCAAATGTCGCAATAGTCAAAACTAAAATTTTATTATATAGTCACATTTATAAAATTAAAAAATAAGAAATATTAATAATACTAAATTAAATATGAAAAAAAAAATTGATTAAACAGTTTGCGTGTTTTTCATGAAGATTTCCTTATTTCCTACCACAATCGCGCAAAACACGCACACGTAACATGAACAAATTTCAGTTGATGCTTCAGTAATCGACTTGAATGAAGAAGAATGGTAGAATCAGTTGTGCAATACGCACCACAATCATCAATTTCTATCTACAACAATCGCGTATTGTTTTATAATTTAAACCAACGCAATGTTGCAATGCAATTCGATATTTACAGCTTATTGTTGTTCTTGTTTGGAAAAAGCAAAAATCAGGGAAACATCTATAATTAACTAAATTTGGTAAGAGTTAATTACATACACAAAAAGAACGCTTTGAAACTTTCAAAAATGCATTAAATAATAACAGTACTCATCGATGAAACTATTCACTTTAATACAAAATAAGTTAACCTGCATAAATGAAGGATTAAAATTATTTTAAAATTATAAAATTAAAAACATCAGATTTGTGAATATTGAGTACTTTGAGTCATTGTGACATCCATCTTAGACTCATTCATTTTATCTATAGTAGCACCCTTGTACTTTAGTTCATAGCTGTCTTCAAAATATTGATTAGGATGGTTGACTGGATTCAGACTGTCTTGCCCATGAAAATGCTGATAAAACTTCCCGCATGCAATTTGGTAATGCCCGCCTTGTTTAGCTTCCAAAATCTCATTAATACCAGTTCCACTTATGCCCAATTCTTCCAATTTGGTTTTCAAAGAAGTTACGTCCCAGTGTTTATATGGACAACCGTGTGTTTCCCCCGGACCGACATTGCCACTAATAATTTTAGCGCAACTGTATGCCGAATAACTTTGCATCTTACCAACTTTTCCAAAGGCGTGTTTAATTGAATATGCGTATTGTTTCTCAAATTTGTCTTGATCTATCTTTTTGGTGAACTCCTCGCGCCACAATTCCATAACATCATCGTAGATCATACCTAAACCTTTTATAAATAACATATACTGCAGCCTGCTGTGGAACTTCAAATGATGTAGAGTTCTAAATGCGTCGTGAATGTTTCGCATGCAAAGTGGGAAATGATCGCGTGCGCATTGATTGATATTTGCCAAGTTGACTTTGCCTTGATTCTTGGAGTTGCTCTGATCGTACATCTTTCCTGTGTATGCCTGATGAATATTCTGCAGGAAATATGTGATCCTTGCATCATTCAAGTTAGAAATGCGTTTTGATGCAGTCTGTAACAGTAATTATATGCGTTTAGTTTTTAGAATGATGGTTCAATTTTCAGATTTGGCTTAACAGAAGTAAATCTAAAACTATATTTAAAAAATGTGTTTTATTGCTTTCAAATGCATAATGGAATATATACTTACAGCTAATGATTCATTTAAAGAACTTCTATAAGTAGAAATAATGCATGTGCTGATCTCATAGTTAGGAACAAATGCAAATCCATTTCTGATAAAAACTTTATACTGCTGTAATAAAGGCAACACTTGTAAGAAATGTACTTTATAAAAAGTTGTTGCATCCAAAACAAAATGCCCACTAGTTGAACAACTGATTTCATCCCTGAAGTTTTGTTTTTCTTCTTCAGTGACTGGTGTGTACTCCAAGTTATAAATTTTCATAAATTCATTGATGCTCTCATCACTAGTGTTCATTAATTTCAATTTAAAGAGCTCAAGTTCCTTATTTAAAAACCACCTTCTAAGTTCTTCAGTTCTACAGTATGCTAATCTGAGAATGTGATGAGAAATGTGATCTTCACGACGAATTTGAATATCTCCTGGTTTCACATGTGAATCACATTTAAGCATTCGCACATACTTATTTAGGTTCTGTTTCTTTAGTTCTTGCATTATGCAATTTTTCCATTCAGGTGAGAATACTTTGTTACCAATTATAGAAGCGTACTCTATGATACGCAAAAGTCGTAAACGATCAATCGCCATATCTTCAAACTCTGATAATTGAATTGTTTGTGAAGGTGGTGTTGTGTACATGGAAAGATTGTGCGGATAAACGACCGTATCACTTTCATATTCGGGTTTAACTTGCTTTCTTCTGTATCGGCTAGTGTCCATTGTAGCTATGGACGAATTATTATAACTATCAAGGTTTAATTGAAAATATTAATGATATTCTACGTACTGCAGTAACTTAATCTCTTGAACAAACTATTTCGCGCCAAAAGCAAATCGCGTGAGGTTATTACTTTTTTGAAAACGTTTCTGCTTCTGAACTTTAGGTAGCGCTAGTTAAAATTTCAAATGTTTACAGGTAATATGAATTATCATTAAATAATATTTAATCAAAGAATACTATTTTATATTTAATGATAAATACAGTATACCAAATGTATGACATGCAAGACACTTTATAAAAATTTTAATGTTTTATATTGGTTGATCTTTATAATCACAGATGTCGTTTACAACCGATCTCTTTCGTCTCTTTTGTTTCCTACTATTCTCTGCTGTTTCTTGCCATGGGCGAGGTCATTCACACAGTGTTTACATTTCTAATCGCCTAGATTTATCAATCAAAGATTTCAAGCTAAATGTCGCGACTTTCATAGTACCTCGCTAGTAAAAGAACTGGAATCGAAAATAACAACAAAATGGCCCTCCCAGAGAAAGCCTTCCAGTATTTCTCGTCAATCAATACGATGGCGAATCGACTCTGCATCGACCTAAACGAAGCAACAAAACTAAACAAGAATATCCTCGAAAATCTCCCTCTGGATGAACAGCAACAGCTACTCCACGATGCGATCGTTACGCCTCAAGTGTTAATGAAGTATCCTCAGCAGCAAGATGCAAATGAGAGCCCTACAAAGTATGCTGTCAAGATGATTGTTGATGATCACTACAGCTATCGTGATGAACACTCTGGACCCTTCTCATTTCACACAGCCAGTCAAAGAGAGTTAAGCTGTGTGACAAGAAAAAAACATGCTAAAAAGCCTGCACCCAAGTACAAGGCTCCAGCACCACCTGTGCCACCTGTAAAAGCTCTAAAAACTGTGATTACTGCTGAAGTTGATGAGAATAATGAAGAGGTTTTGAGAGCTGAGCAAATTGAGGTGAGGGTGGACTTTGATAGACAGCTGGTTGAGGATATTGATGACATTGATGGTTTATCCAGTTTGATTCCAAAGACTGGACTAGATTTACTTGATAATTGGTAAATTATTGGTGATTCTGCTTTTGCATTCATGCAGCAATCAGTTTTATAGTGGTATGATTTATTTATTGTTTTTATTTGATGTTTACTGAATTTATATGTCCAAAGATGTTTATACTATAAATGAAGCACATTTGTATTAGTATAGGGTTTGTAGTAACATAATATATTTATAAAATATGTAAAGAAAATGGAATTTATCATAATACCTATCAATAATTTTCTATAATTCATTGTCACTTGCAGATTGGTTTAGTTCTTGATTCTCAGTGTATAGTGGGTTGCCTACAACGAAACATAAATTTAAGTTTTGCATTTCCGAATTTAAATTTATACTACGAAAAATATTAAAGAAAACATTGTATTCCAACTTGTATATACAGATCAGTAATCCCAACAAGCAAAAACTAATTAATCAGCAAATTAAAACAAGTACATATGTTAATACACAATAATTCACGATTACTTTATGAATATGTTAGTTTCGCTTCTTTATGACAGCTCACCACTTATTTCAAAATAATACAAATCGCTACAGAAGTGTCTTGTACAACGAAATATAACAGCGATTTAAAGCATTTATGTTATTAATTATGAGTGGCGTTTTCCAAACTTTTCAATTCTCGGTACTTTGTGTATTTATATATGTTATTTAATATTTAAACATTTTAGTTCTGGAAAATTATTGACCTATCGTAACTATTGTTACTGCGGTCGTAAAATCTGTGGGCAGAATAAACGCTTTGAACCTGACATTGGTCACGTAGCACAATGTTTTCCGAAGTTGTTTTCTTCGAGTTTTAATTTAAATTTCGAAATAGGCATTCAGTGCATTAGAAACTGCATCTGGCACGATAAAATTCTAAAATTAGCCAATAATGATATTGCATCATATTTTCTTATGTTCTTTTCACATGATATCAAAAGATTTCTGAGTCACATAGCGGCCAAAATTTCGTAAACACATTTTTCTTTCTTGTGCACGTTTTAATCAGACTTTTGCATCCGATTTATGTCTGACTTTAATACTACCTACCTGCAGAAGCTGCGAAACGAATTATTCATTCAATATTCACGATACAAGTCCACGCATACGGACAGATACATGACAGTTAATAATAAACAAACAATTTGTTGCCGGCAGACTGAAAACGCGTTTCGTGCGATTCTTTTCTTGTTGCTCTTACATTATCATGCGGTGTCGCTGCGTTAGCCGGTACAAGCGCGCGTTTTGTCGAGACGTGCGCGAAACGTGTCAGCGAACGCACACAATACGCACACCAACGCTGTATGATTCACACGAACACAGCACGATGCCCCCACACAAGCAACGCGCACGCGTTGTCGTGTTCTCGTTTTAACTCTCTACTACTGTATTGTTTTCACTCACTCTACGTGCGCGTCGCGTACAACTCCTGCTACGTTACGGCAGACGACTACGCGCTCCCGCTCACGCTCAGTTCTTTGCGATCGCTTGAGGCGTGTGCAACTTGCGCTGTTCGGACGCGGCGTGAGCGAAATTTCGTGTTCGAAACGTTTCCCGCCATTTGCTTCACACAGTGCAATCGTATCTACATCACAAGTGCGTTAATAATATTGTGCAGTTAAATCTAATTTATAAATAAATTAGTCTTTCACGCGAAGTCAAATTGTGTTATCAATATGTTGTCGAAAGACATTAACATTTTGTTATATTTCGAAAATATTTTTTACTTTTACGATTCACCGTTTGTTTGTTAGTTTCGCGAAACAAAAATCGCAACTGTTTTCATTTCTTGTTTGGTATAAAGCTTTTATTATTTACGTAGTTTTGGTCAAGTGTTGTTAGCGGGAGAATACGACGTGAAGTGCTAACTCAATGAACGAATTTGTTATCGCAAATTTGGTTTTCATTGTGGTGTGCGTCAATCGGCAACGCGTTTCTATCAGTTAATTAATTCTCGTTTCGTCACCTATATTTTTGCGGCGCATTTTATCACAGCGTTGGCAAATAGTTCGTGTTTGTGTTTGTGGGGTGCTATCAGCTCAAGTCAACAAGATGGATTTCGGTGCGTTGAGCAGGCACGACAGAAACAATCGTAAGATAATTCAAATTATTTATTGAGTAATATTTTACTTTGATATGCGCTTTATGGTGATTTATGTGTAGAAGATGAAAGACGCGCGTGCGCAGTATGCAATTTTTAAGTCATGCTTAATTAATTTAGTTCTAATAAGATTTCTCTGTGCATGATTCACACTTCTCTTAAATTAACCTCGAATTGTTTTGGATGTAATATCTATTGCATAATATTTGCTTGAAATATTAAAATGTATTTTTAATTATTTAATGGCGATGGTAGAATATAGAAAACACCGCATGCTAAACAGTAATAGATAAATATTAATGTGTGATTTTTGCGCAATATTGTGCGTAGTGATGTGTCAACAATGAGAACAAACAACAGTTTGGTCAAAACATGATGAAATAAATATTTATGACGAGCTCTTCTTTGAAAATAAAGTCACCCATAAACATCGACAACAATATTATTAATGTACGACCAAAACAATACTTACAGTAATTATTAAACTAAATTACTATTTAAATACTAGGTATTCGATTTCATGGAAATGGTGTATGTTCAATTTTATTTCTGTTTTCGTCTAGTAGATACACAAATTACAGCGGGTACATTTAATGAAAGTGTTGATTGTTTAGTCTAGCAATTAAAGCGTCCACACGCTCTAAATTGAATCAGTCTTGTGCCAAATTAGCATCTATGTGTTTAGTAGTCGATTTATGTTTTTTTTTTCAATATAGATTTTTGAATCATGTTAGAAATTATAATAAAAATATAAATGTTTATATTTTTTTTGGAGAAGATGAAAATAATAACTTCAGTTATCAATTGATTTGTATCATTAATCTTTTACTTATGCATCAATAATTGCTTGTTTAGTTGTATAGCTACGTTCATTAATTGCATAATTATGTCTCCATGAATTATATAATGATAAATGAGTGACTTTTAATTGACTTACTGAATAATTAGAATAAATAACTGTAACATCATAATTTATAGCAGTGTTTATCCATGATTACAAATATTTGGCTCATGAGACAAGAATGTTGCAGTTCTAATTTTATACAATTTGTAACACATTTCTGATTCATTATATTGTCACTCTGTTGCAATTCGCACATACATACATTTCACGCCCCAGTCATAATTCTGGACTGTTGTTTATAGTACCTAACTGAAATAAATTAATTTTCCTTGAATTTTCAGCGCGATAATGTCATAGTAAATTATTTGTTTTTGTTTATGTTATAACACCAATAACAAACCGAGTGAGTTGCAGATGGAAATAGAAATTGCTGACGTGACGCGACAGTGTTATTGCCTGTAGATCGAAATGTGAGTTCAAGTGAGTGTTAATTAATTCTCGTGCAAATGAAATCCCACAAAATGCAAAGTCGGTTCATTTTCGACGTCAATGTGTTGACAACAATTTTTTGCCGTTGACGCAAATCCAGACGGAAGACAAATGTTTGTTTTTGATATACTTACTGGAATCACATCGCATAATTGAGGGAATTAATCGTCATTATACTGTCATATTAGTCCGTTTAGAAATAATTGCATATTATTATTTGTAGCATAAATAAGTACTTTGAGGTTGAACAAAAGCGCATAGGTGTCATGAACCAAATAAAAGTTGTTGATATTTCATATTTGAAATATTATAAATAGAACTAGCTTTTGCCCGTGACTTCGTCCCGGTAGTGTTTAATAAAAATGTAATTCGTTTTTACTCTCTTGTTCTAGACATAGTATGTGTCAATTGCATCAATTAGATTCGCAATTTTATTTTAAAGAAATTAATTATATAAAGAATTGCTAATAATGCACTTCAGCGCGACATCTTAGATTCAACTATTTATCCTATAGAAAAGGGCTGTCTTTAGGGTTTTCCCGGCAATCACTCGAATTTTTCTCGCCGTAAAAACCATTCTTGGACTTTAACGAACATTCTAAAAAAGAATGGGCCAAATTGGTATAGGCGTTGTTGAGTTATGCGCTTACCAACAGATTTTGCTATTCATTTTATATTACAGATTAGCTAATTGGCTTTTCCATTGACTTTTCCATTTCAAAATTAGTATTAGGTGGTTTTACGGATTATTATTACTAAATGTTAAGGTCGGAAACATGTGCCTGAATATTGTATTATGATATTCGATAATTTTTACCCGTCTTCCCCCGACAATAAAAATGTCACATTATTCATCATTCCCGAGTAATTGGTGATCATTCGATACATTTCCAATTTGAATTCATTTTAATGTCTCCTCTGGGCTTTTACTTAATGTGGTAACATGGAATCGTAACATGTTGCATTTGTTTACGTTCTCGAGAATTTACGCACATCCGTTTACGATGCGCTTTTATTCCGCGGTTGCACATTGCACTTGATAACGTTTAATGTGCTCACGCACAGGCGATTCCGATGCACCTTACAAGGCACCATCATCCAATCGATTACATCACATACTCGTATAAACTCGGTGTGTATTTTCACACGCATCTCTGCACAACTGCACATTGCACATATCACATATTTCGCTGTTTATGCAAATTCAAATCGCACATTAAACTTGTACTTTACCGAGGTATACGAATACGTAGGTAGGTTGTGTTTGTGGTAAACAACACTGTATAGTAAATTTGCAGGTTTTCTTCACTTGTTTACCTGTTCAGGAAATAAAATAAAAAGTAAAAAAATTTAAAACTGCGGAAATATACTTACGTATGTAATTTTCGGGTGACTTATTGGAAATTCGGTTTTGTATTCAATGTGGGTTTTCCACTTGAATTTAAATGGCTTCATCATTTCGCACATCTAAGGTTAAACATAAAATATTCGCGGTTTGATGTACGAGTATCCTATTGCGCTTTAATTTTTCTGGGGGTCAACGCTTGGCGCATTGCCCTCGATGGGCCATCGCCGTGCGCAAACAGCGTTTGTTTATCTTCTCGCCGCTTCTGCGTCTCTCTTCCGATACACAACACACCGGCGCACCGTCTTCGGTCAACGAAATCGCAAACAACCAGTTAATTTCGCTCGTAAGTACATTAACTCCACTAATTTAACTCAACTTCACCGCCTGCGTCTTAGTCTAATATCGGCGTCAGCATGTAGATTGGCTCGTCATGGGGGCACCTTGAAACAATCACCGGGGCCATTGGGGGCCCGCTCAAGTTCAATCCTTTCAATTGATCTTAGTAGTTAACGGGTATTACGCTTCTTGCGTGCGTTACATGTGCGCGACAGCAAGGTGCCGACAAATCAATCAAATCATTATATATTATTGACTTAAGTCATGCATAGTCAATTAATATATGTTTATATACTGATTAAAAGAATTAAACTACGCATTTCGAACTTATACCGCTACTCAATATAGGTACATGTATCGTATTTCTTATTATCAGTGTTTTATTCGCATGACGATAAAATAATAAAAAGTGTCGCCAATTTTATTAAACATACAATTTCAACATTGTGTCTGTTCATTGTTTGCATTTTTTACGACCGTCACTGACGTTATCGGAAAAAGTATACAAACTTCAACACATTCATGTGTGTGTGTGTATTTATATATTTATTTTGCACTCGTATGCACATTCCCCATGCAGCATGCACTTTTTATTGGTGTTGGCGTCTAAAGCTTCTCGGAAATTCATTCATAAAGGAAATTTATAATCGGCATGTCGTGCGCGCTGTGTGCCATTAAAAGGGTATCGTAATTTAATTATTTTTAATTAACAAATTGACGCAAATGTGCTGACCCGGCGCGACTCCCGCCATGCTTCAAAGCAATATAATCACAGTTTTTAAGTCATTTTATTTTATTTTATAATTCACAGGATTAGTTTATTTTGTTGTGCGAGAATAATTTTGTGATTTTATGTTCTGCAATGTTTGTTGTGTTCGTATTGCAACATCGCGTCGTTAAAAATGTAACATTTTTAATTTTGCGCAATTCCAACGTAAATATTTACGGGATTTATTACTGTGCACACATTTTTTTCTATATAAAATGAATTATTTATTTAAAATACGTCCCATTATTTCTCATATTAATCCGAGTTATTAATAATTCTCAAAAATGGATTTATACATGTCGATAACCGCGATAAATACAACTATATACACTGATTAAACGTCCTTGAAGTTGAATTTATTCGCAGGCTACGTTTTTATTCCCAGCTCTATGTCAATGTCAATGCGACACATGCGTCGAACGTAGGAGAGAGTAAATCACGGTCGAGGTCTCTTATCACCAACACGTTACCACACCTGATAAGCTCAGATTAAATATTTCAAGATTTGAATTAACTTGTTCCACTTACGCTTCAGCGTAGTTAGGTTGAATTAATTAGGTGTAATGTAATTAGACCAGAATACAATACAAGAAAGCTATTTGAGTGCTTGCCGTGCACGACAGATTCATTGCAATTAGTGGAGCGCGTGGTTCATTCTTTCTTCTATTCCGAATGGCGGTGTACCGTAACGCAATCGCGCGAATGTAGCTATAAAACTCATCGATTGCAGATATATTACCTGTTTGCAGTCGCGCATACCCAGCGCCATCTTGAAACACAGCGTCGTAAAATGACTGCAGGATCTAACCGCGAACATACGAGAACATAGTTTGTGGCATATATAGTAAGTCTGGTTGTCAACATGCACATCAAGAAGAGGGTTTGTTCAACAAAGCGGTTTTACGCTGAAATGGTTCCCGAGGAGGCGAGCGTAGTTTTATGCGGTGTCGGCACGCAACTCTGTTGCATCCTCTGAATCAGAACCATGTGGCGGCGGGCTGAGGTAACCAGTCATCCCACATCCCACTGAGTTCTACTCACTGCGAGCTGACATAAAGCAGCTTCACGAAATGTGCAACTCACTGCACACTGTGTGGTTGTTGACGTAGAGTTACAAAGGATTGCAGGAGTCCAAGTAGTCCTACTTTGAATGTCAAACATTAGCTTTTTTTTATATTTTTCATGCAGAGTTGAAAAGAGAATTTTTTTGTTTTAAGAATTATAACTTGATGAGCCGAAGAATGTTGGTAATTTTCGTTCGCGATAATGATATAGGTGCAATTTGTTATTGAATTACTTGCAAAAAAATGCATTAACTCAGGTCAGTTTTCTATTCACGTGACATTATTTCTGATATGAAAAATCACAACGTAATAGAATTTAATTGAGCATCAGTAAAAGCTTAGACATTGATCGATGGCTTGTAAAAATTGCTTATTTAGTTAATTTAACCGGTCCCTCGTTGGTCACTTAGCGCATGGTATACCAGTTGATTCATCGCTGCCAACATAATCCAATCGCACACTAGTAAATTGTGTGCGCGCCCGTCTTATTTATCGCCGCATTGCAAGCGGGCGAAATAATTTCGGCTTTTCATTTGTTTGATGCGAAGATTCCTCCGTCTCTTCGGACAGAAATACATCGCGCAGATCGCAATAACCGCGTTGCGAACATTGCAAAGTTTTAAAGTGATCGTTATTCATCATACTTACGTTTATGCCGACATTTGCGACTTATCGGATGCATTGCTGCAATCCATGCGCGTGCACTGCCAGCAGGCCGCAGATAATGTTGTCCGGACGGATCATTTCTCATTTTCGGTGCGTCATTGCAGCGCGCAAACAACTGGAAACAGTAGTAAAACACGAAACAACTTTTGCAATTTTCAATTTTCATGTTCGGTTATTACACTGGAGTTTTCGGCGTGCAGTCAGGGGTGAATATCGCGAAAATGAAACATTGTAGCTTGTTTATGTGAATTATTTCACAGACAATTAAGTATCAAATCGGGAAATTTTTACATTTTATCGGATTTTTTTCTTGCACAGACATTGGAGTTAATAATGACCTATACCAACTTTTTTGTGCTCGTCTGTCAGCAATCGTGTGATGTATCTTTTGTGTTGGCATGTATTTACCTTGGCCTTGTATTGCTTTGTCGTGTCTAGCACAACACAGTCTAAGGCTCTTTGTAAAAAGCGCCATTTGTTGTTTAACAACACGTCGTAAAAACGATAATAATTAAACGGGTGGCGAGCTGGTCTTCCCCCTTGGTCTGACGTGCTTGAAATTTGTTTATGAAATTCGCGCTCGCCCTGGCGCTATTAATGCGACGTGAGATTGGATTTCAACCGGTCCACGAAGCTGGTACTCTTTCTTCCTCGTACGTGTGCTCTTGACGTAACAGGTCGCGTTTCTCGTTTTCTCGACCGCCCCAGACGTACAGATCCGAAGGGAATTCGCTGCAGACAAAAGCACCGCCGAAGAGGGTATGGGATCGGTATGCGAGGTGAGAGGTGGCCTCGTCTGGGACCCGCGTCTGGGCCACACGCACACACATCAATCCCCTCCGAGTATATAAACACCTCATTCACTTAGTCTCACCTCCCTCTTCTCTTCTCCTATCAAACCAATAAGTAATCCCAAACGCTTTGGATACCTTTGTTTGGTTTGGTGCACACGCTGTGCTCACATGTAGTACGCCGTAGTAGAATTTTGCGCGCCAAACCATCCTGCGTCGAAGTTGAATGCAACCGAGCAACGCTGCACTCTGTTCATTCGCATGTTTCCATCCTGCACTACAAATAACTTAAAAGCATGCGAAGAGGAGAGATGGAAGAGTTTGGGGGAGCTTCTGCGCAAGGCACTAGTGGGTGTCTACGACGTAGTAGAAGTATCGGAAATCGATCCTACGCGCGGGTGCCGCCACGCCAACAGTTTCCCCCCACACACCTTCCATGCCGCGGGCGGTGTTGTGACGCCGCGCTTACGCGATGCCCATTCTTGTACAAGGGTAGAGCGTGGAAACAACGCCCCAATTCGAACCGGGTCAACGACGCGCGCGCGCTTTTTCAAAACAAACCGAGCGAAACGGCGCGCCTCGCGCTCAGACCTACCGCAACGACGCACACATTGTGAAACCTGCGTGTACTCTCATACAGTTCTTCAATTCCATCCTTGGGGGGCTTTACGGACACGTCCGCTAACTTCTTTTTTATTTCACTTGCATATTAGCAATGCAACACTGCATTATTCACCAGAAACAGCCGGCGGGTTGTGCAAATATTTCTACCTGCTAGTATTTCTATTATTCAACGCGGACAGAGCTTCAAACCTAAATGGGCAATTAATAAATACCTTACTGCCATATTCATTATTTCCAATTATAGCCTCGTCATGCACACATGTTGTGGACTTGTTTGTCGGCATAAACCCTTCAGACCTGCAGCTATTGTTGATATTGTTCGGTTTGCAACTGGATCTTTGAGGGGGAGATGCAGCGTATGGCGGGGACAGGAACACTAGTCGGTTGGTTGGTTGCTAAGGTGCGGCTCCTGCGGCTTACGGCTCGCGTTCCCCCCAGCCATGTGTATGCACGCGTTTTGTCTGCTTTCCTCGTGCGCGGTGCGCGTAGTAATATTCCCGCTTCGCGGTTGTGCCACGAGACTGCTTCGAGGAAGGTGAACGACCTAAATTCGCAACGATCCAGGCCGTGAGTCTCCTGCTGCAGCATGCAATGCTGCAACACAGGGTTGTCCTAGGTATAGGTAAACCTCCACATTGACATTACAAGGGTCAATATTAGTTAATTAATTAAATTAACCATAATTTTGAAGCATTTTTAACCTACAAACTTCCCTGAATTAGTTAATAAATAATGATGAATTACATGCACTTTATCAGCTTAGTGTCTTGACCTAACCTTAAAGTCGGATGTTTCCCGCCAAGATATTAGTATTCCCAACGTCTCTACGGGTTTGTACCCTTCTCAAGGTGTTGCAAGTGATAATTGTGGCCGAGTGAATCCCTGGGATCTTATTGCATGCGCAGCAGAAACCAAAATCTAATTAGTTGCAGCTTATATCGGTCTATTAGTTTGATTAGCAGCTCCGGTAGATTAAGTGGATTTCGCGATTATCGCAAATGGTTATAGCTACTTTCGGGTGAATGCAATTCGTATAAGGCAAAATACACAGTTATTAATTCCGGAGTGGTGCGATGATTTTGCTCTCGCGAGGCGATCGTAATTGCCGTTAATTGGAAAGTTATGTTCGCTTGTCATAACTGACCTATTTACGTCGGCTGCGCTGTGTGTTGACTGGATTAAATATTAATTCAAAATAGATTTACGCTCATCGACACTCCCACAAGAAGTTGATGAATGTTTAATGACTTAATGTCTTTGATTTTTTGATCATTTTAGTGTTTTATTTTTGGCTAATGGCAACTGCAACATAGTTGCATGGCTGCTATTTCAATTTGAGGCCTTTAGACCTTTTTGTTGTTGTGAGTCAATCATCATTAGCACACTTCTAGTTGTTACGTCATTCACCTGCGGATATATTCAATATAAATAGAGAATATTTGTTTAGTGATTCTGAGAATTTTTCGCGTGCAAATTAATCAATATAAAGTAAATAACGCCGTATTGGTTTATGTCGGTCTTGTGCATATTTCATTTTCTCGTTACTCGCTTTATGCGTATTTAAAATTGAACATAAAACATTTACTAACGACACTGGACGGGAGAAAAACGAAGAGTTTCAGCTTGGGGAGCTGCAATGCAACAGCAGCGTTCGTAAAACAGAGCAATAGATCTTAAGTTTGTAGCATGTCGTTGACGTGCCTCTGCGCCGAATGCAAAACGCTATAACATTAACATTAGCATTTACTGAGTGTTGCCAATTGTCAATATATTATTAATTATCTCATAAAATATACAAAATTAAACAATAATTTTAAATAAAACAGAAAATATATCTACGAATATTAGTAAGATATTAATATTTATTTAAGAAATTTGTTAAATTCATTTTCACATTCATGTTGTATGCCCCAAGTACACTGGTAGTAGACTCCTCTTCTCGGAGATCTTCGACATCGACAGACTAAGCTTTCGACTTCTCATCGCACAGCTATTGCTATTTGGTCCTAGAACTACGCCGGAGTATATTCGCGCCCCATTCTCAGTTTCCGTTATTCTTTTATATTTACTTACTCTTTCGTCTTCGGCGGTTACTCTGTGCTCTTGTGTGTGTGCACATATTCTATGCGTTTTCGTTTCTATCGCCTTCTGTTGCTCTCCCCAGTCATGCAGTTCTTCTTCCTTTATTTTTGCACGTTTGCTGTTCTATCGCTGGCTGCATCGGGTTCTTCGCGCTGACTCTGGTTGTTTCTCTGTGTTGGAACGTTTTCCAACATGCAGTTCCCGAGTATACTCTCGACGATACCATAATCTCGTGAACTAAAAATAACACATCGTCCAATACAAATGCGAATCGACGTCGAAATGAATCGAAAAACGCCCGGAGAAGTTTATTTCGGAATTTACGAATATTTATGGCTTTCAGTTCCGGTTCGAATGGAAGCACTTGAAAAATGCTTTAAACTTATACCGAGTGATCAAAATATTATAATAAGCAACCAAATGTACATATTCATATCATAACCTCAACTGACTTTAGTTTACATAGAACTTTGCATTTAATACAACAGAATTATTAACTAGTGTTGTGTGTTATTTCAGTGAATAAACTTGCTGAACTATATAAACAGCAATTAACTACTAGTTTTATATTACTGACATAAAATTGATTGTAAAGCAACTCGTTATGTAATATAATATTCATATGTGCATTTACATATTTTATTATGCAGAAATGCGCGTATTGCAGACGTCTAAGTGAATAATTTATAAATTATTAATATTCACCAAGTTCAAATCGCCATAAAACGCGTTTATTGACGAATTGAACAAGTCGTATAATTAATTAAGCTATTAAACCGACGGTTTATTAAGTTGCTGGATGGCTGAACGCTTGATTGGCACTGTTAGTGGGCAACAAATCAAAGTATAACTAGAATTATATCACCTTAGCAACAGTGACTTAATAACAATTACAATTTATTGTAAAAATGTGATTTTATCTGTAAATCAATATTTATTCGATTAATTTACTTTATTTTTTATTTGTTCCAGGTGAGTATCCATAAAAAAACCATGGCATAAACAATCAACAAGCTGTAAGTATACGGGGAATTGTTTATTAGAATCTGTTTATCGCTTGTGTCTAGACGCCGTTTAGTTTAATCGTGCAGTCGTTTTTATCCGTTTACATTTACTTACGTGTGATTTGATGCGTGCTTCTAATTACAATTACACTGGTATTAACATTCGGATTGTTTGTAAAAGGTGTTATCATCGTGAATTAGTTAACCAGAGTGTGTAATGGCGCAGTAGGATCCGCACAAGTGAAAAGTCGGGTACTACGTATTATTTTCGAAAAGTAGGTCGAATCGATAGTTTAACATTGTGTGTGCCCCGTCTCTGCACCGTCGGCGTGTGCATACACAAAAGCCTCCGACAACGCCTAATGACTCTCCCGTGCGCCTATTCCACATCCACCCATGCAGACTTTTTCATTCCCCGACCGCAAACTAGGGTAATGCAAAATATTCTGCCACATCATCCTTATAATATGAGGATTCATAAAATGGTAAAGTTATTGGAAGAATATACTTGTCAATATGATCAAATGTATATAATTGGCATGCATTTCATAAAAAAAAAAACCTACGAATTACCAAAATAAAGGAAAATATGTGATTTTGCTTCAATTCGCGTATGATACTTGAAGAATAATTCTTTATCGGCATACTTGGCACTATCTATTGCTTTTACAATGAAACCCGCAGCGAAACGAATAAATCCACCGTGTTGCCATTACTTATCCGGGCATTGTTCTGCGGATTCCGTCACAGACAGATCATAGATTAAGACCTACAATGCCGACATTCACTACATTATTTCGAATGTTTACAGTTGGTTATTTAGCGCATTATCGCTAGCGTATGTACTTGGAATGTGACTAATGTGTACGAGTATGCGATGTAAGTAACTACGACGCGTTAACAAATTGTTCGTGAATTACTGGGAATTCAAATATTTCGCCATGGTAAATATTTTTTTGAAAAGATTTTATTGGTTTTGCGTCTACGGAAATAAGATTTATTTACTATGCGGATAAATGAATATCTCACCTAATCTAATGGTTATGTATACGCGGCGAAGCAGTGGCGAGCTGAGGCGAGTCTGAAAGTTCATTCATAAATTGCATGGAAACTGGGTTATGAGAGTACGCGAGTAGTGTACTACGTAGTAATATGCCAGTATGCAGTATTTACTACGTAGCCGACAGCGGCACGAGCGCTCGCGTTGCGCGTTCAAATTCCATGAAAACGACACGCAATATACGTAACAAACACGTGAATACTTCAAACACCATGTATGAATTCCATACACTGCCAAACAGTTATTTTTCAGTTGGTAAAATCATTTATTCTCTTCTAAATCTACAAAATAAATGTAATTCACTGCCTAGACACTGAAAGATCGATTTAATCTTCTACGCACAACATGAATAGATTTACGATTTATTATTTAGTTTTATTACACTGCGTAGTAAGTATTGACCTTAATATAAATCAGTCAGCGTGCTCGAATCAATCATCCAGCTATCTGTTTGTGTAATGTTATGTTACTCATTGACGTCTTGTGGCTATGTCTCTTGTGCTTTGTGTGTTAACGATTGACGTGTTTCATCATCATATTTCACTGGCTGCGTCGCGTGGGATGTGTTATGCGTTATTTTGCGTGGCGCACATTATAATCACCACCTACTGGTATCGATATGGTGGTGTTGTGTTTGGAGGCGCACTGTGTTTGATTGTAGGACTTGGGCACTTTGGGCGTGGATGGGTGTGCGGGCGACTGCGTAATTGCGCGAATGGCGATTAGAAATTAATTCTAATGGACAAGAGTACATGCATTGTGCACATTGCGTATGCAAATGGATGAATGGTTTACGATCATGATCACTGGGAGTCGATATAATCAATCAATACTATGTTTGACAGGGTTAGGTCTATGCGTGCATAGTATGCATGGAGTGCATAGAGTGCATAGAGTGCATAAACATTCCAATCAAAGTTGATAGCAATTGTTTATGAAAGTCCGGTATGGGTTTTACGAGGCTTGCGTTACGTACACTTTAGATTGAAAGTTTAAATTTGTTTTTCTACTTCCACCTTTAAAATGTCAGTTTTTCACGGTTTTTAATCACAAAAAGTGATATTTTAAACACGGGCGGACAATATCGTGACTAATGTACTTTAATCACGGAGTGGGGCTTGCGCCTGCGCATTTGCCTGCTGTACAGTACAAGACCATGCGCCGAGGGTCAAACCTGTGTTTGTTATTAGGAATGGGGTCGTTTTTTATTATATTCCTTTTGTTGACTTTCGGCCTCAGTTTTTCAACATTTCTCTTTTTTTTCCTGATGCTTTTCTTCCTTAGACTTCTTATTTTCTTAATTTTTTATCAGTTTTCCTTTCTTATTATTCCTCCTTATTATCTCATGTAAATTTTTCTTTCCCCCTTCAGCCTTTTTGTTCCGTGTTCTTCATTTTTATTTCTATTTTTTTCCTGTATTTCACTTTTATTTTGGTTTCTATTTTTGTTCTCTAAAATTCACAATTTCTACGATTAAAAAACAATTAATCACATAATAATATTCATGCAATTTTCGACATTTTGAAGCTTATTTGGTTTGCTTGCAAACTACATATGCTGATGTCTGATGTGATGCATTCACTCATCAATATATTGAAATATGTCTGACGGCGCGATAAAAATGAAAAATGGATGAAATTTACATATGCACTTCCAATTGTGTAGGCACGCGCTGACATGCCACTTATGCATCACAAATAGAGTGAACGTAATATTCTGTTATGTGCCTGATTTATAAATCAAATATTGACATACTAAACATTTACCCCAAAGCGAAAAAAATTCCATAATTAGTAATTAAGTTAAAAACACGAACAAAAATTGTTTGCAATTTATTAGTCACATATTACACAAGTTCATCCAATAACAGTCAATATTATGATTGCTAATCGCTAATCTACTGGAATTGAAAACAATCGCAATGTTAATTATCGCGCAGTAAATATTTTTCTAATAATACATAAATATTAATCAATGGCTACAATGTTGACGTGTGGGTGTTTTATGAACTTTCATTTATTATTATATCCGGTATTCTAACACACCACTTTAATATAGAATGTTTGCAAAAATGTTTGAAGTTGAAAAATAAAATAAATCTATTACTGCAACAGTAATCGTGTTACTGTTAGTTGTGAGTTGGTGTTTTGCCAAGTGTGATCTTTGTGACAACACTCACGTTTTTATGCGCTTGGCCAATACCGTTAATAGACCTGAAGCAATATTAATCACAGTGAGGTGTAGCGTTGCACTGGCGAACGTAAACAAAGTCAATGGTGCGCGCGCGTTGGGTGGTGGTAAGCGCCACACACTCCTTGATCCTTAGCGGCAAAAGGAGTGGATTGGACACGGCGCGCGGAGTGGCGCGCGTGGGTCGACTTTAATCTTGTTGCGTCTCTTCGCGCTTTGCGTCCGTCTCTCTGCGAATTAATTGTGTGCACATCGCGTTCGAAGTCGCATCGACGGCAGCATTGCATCCCGTTATCGCAAGTATTTCCGGTTAACATCCACGCATTTTCAACCCACACGGTTTTTTAAATATAAATGATAAAAATAAATCGTGCAACATTAGAAGAAGAAGAAGATAAAAACATTTCTACACGTCTAAAATATATTTTCTTAAATTAATTTGGACTAAAAAGTAGTTTGTGATTGAATTATCGCGTGGGTTTACCTAAAAGAGTAAACAAAGTAATCAAGGGTGGAAAAGTGGGTGTTTATTAGTTTGGCGAAGTGTTGGTCGTTTCCTTAATTGACTTGCACATGCAATTCAAACACTGACGACGTGGAAAGTGCGCGTTGGGGAACTTTTGTGTGTCATTGAAATACTCCTACACCCCAACACAATTCAATTCTGTGTGCTGGTGACGCAAGGGGAATCGATTGATTCAATATATTGATTTAATTTCGGTAAAAACTGATATTCCGATATGGATACCACTTATAATAAAGGTAATCATAGTTTTTTCGTCTTGCTTCGTGGTTTTTTCCAATTTTGACGGAGTATAATGTTTGTGGTCGATAACTTACCTTGTTCAATTATTTGGCAAATGCAATTACATTGCCTAGAAACCTAGTTGGAAAACTCAAGATTTCACTGCGGAGTTTGTCCATTAAATTAAATTAGGATGGATTGCAATTGCATTTGACATTTAACATGCGGTATAAACTACTTAACTAAAGTAATGACGTGCGTAGTGTATTTTAATTTCGTAATACGAAATTTTCCAATCGATTTGGCTATTTATGTTTATGATTTTGCACTAATGTCGACGTTGTGACCTCTGTAATCGATTTACGTGAAGTTGGCATGAAAATACATAAGTCAAAGTCAATTAATTTTGAGGTTACTTTATTAGACATTAGTTGTTTGTTATTTGATAGTTTCCGTCTCGCAAAGCGTCTCGTCTGCTTTGCTTATTAATAAGTTCCATGTGTGTAGTCTACGTGGAAGCATTGGTGTTTGAGTTGAATTATAATATAATGAATCATCGCATCATATGCATATCCCGCACCTGCATAATACTTGGCACGCGCAGCATGGAATGCCTGCTTTTCCGGTGTTTATTTTACGCATATAACAAATATATGTGCTTTGGTATCATCATTAGGACATTAACTACTATTTACTGTTGTCGAATTATTTTTTTCGAATGATGAATACATTTAAACCAATAATTTTCGTTTCCACGTGCTGCTTTGATTGCATAATGAGTTGTTTGTATTTGCTTTCGTTGAATGGTATCTATTCATCGTATTGCAAATATTCTGGGCATGCACGCGCGTGCACATAAAAATTTATTATTGCATGACTATATTTAACAAACTCGAAAAATTCTACATTTTCCTGAAATAATATTTAGTTATTTTTAACAATTAGTTGAGAGTAATTAACCTACAACTTAATTAATTATAGTTATTTTGGTACACGAAAACAGATTACTGTTGGGAGTACACCTGCAGTATATTTTTAAATTAGCGCCCGAGAATTAGCTGCGACATGCAAGTATAGAATGCATAGAAATGCAGCACAAATGCATTTATGAAAAACATGCGGCGAATATACAATAGCCATGGTGCTTGTGCACTGACTGGTAACATAGTAACACTGTAACACAGTTACTTGCACATTTATTAATCGTCCTTGCGCACCCAAATTACATCGCGAAGGCTGTTCGTTTCATGTGTCATTTATTTCGCGTCACGCAGTACCTACCTCTCGCTATAGATGCACTAATGTTTCGCACCGAGCGAAACATAAATTTACTACGAACTACCTTCATTCAACACAAAATAATTGCATATAATTTAATACTTACTAATTACAGGTGCGGTGTAATACATTATTTTAATAATTGTCGTGTACTTTTTTGTAATTTTATGT